AGCCCCACTGATGAGTCTAGGCAGCGACTCTGAGACGAAACGCACAACCTTTCCTCACCTTACCCACATCATCACTTCCTACATTATCCTCGCATTATCATCGCCATTTTCAATCCCTTCAACCCTATAGTGATTATAATGATATTATTATAATACTATAAATAAATAAATAAATAAATAAGAACTTTGTAACTTCAATAACTTTTTATAAATTATAATAAATTATATAATGATGAAGTTTATAGCAAAAATAGATAAGTGTTTTCAACAAATGTTAGTTAAGGAATGAATCACTAATTCTAAAATGGAATCTATATATATATATCTCTATAAACAAGTAATCATGGCAATAACATTTCCATAGTAATAAATAAACTATCAATTTACAATTTGTAATGTCGATTTACAGGAATCGTACTTTTCGACAGGATGATTATATAGATGGCGTTACTATAGATTTTGGAGATATAACGGTCGCTACAACCCCGTAAAACAGAGAAATTTTCATTTGCGAAAAAACCTAATTTAGCGAAATGAATTGTGAACTTTTGTGGTTGTATTACCCTCTCAGCTTTCTTTTCATACCCCATTTGACCCGTAAAATGTAGGAATAAGTATTTTTATAAATAATTAGTACCACTGAGTTACCGCTAGATGGCGCCACCATGTCCATTTTGTGATAGTTCGCACTAATTACGAAAAAAACCTAATTAAGAGGAATAATTTGCGAACTTTTTTATATGCCTTCTCATAATTATGTTCCCCGCTTTCTTTCTATGTGTATTTTGTCCTAGAAAAATGTATGTGTAAAAAGTCGAATTTTTTTTTCAATAGATCAAAGGATGTCCTTCTCGCACATTGTTGCTTTCCTTGTCTAGTGTCATTAGACAAGGAGAGCACTAGCATGCGATAAGGACAGACATATATACGCGGTAAACAAGGAGAGCAACAGCATGCTACAAGAACAGACATAATCGGTAAACAAGGAGGGCAATAGTGTTCGAAAAAGACAGAATATAAATTCCACTATGTCATCGCTACGCGGCGCTAATATTTTAGTGTGCATAAATCAAATTTGCAAAAAAATTAACAAGATTAATATATAATTTTTTATTGTTACGTAAAAAATTTGAACATTATGTCTATTTTTCAATAATGATACATATTCAGTAATCTCTATCCCAAAATCTTAATTTATTTTTTTATAATTGAAGATAAATAAAAATATAATATATATAAACATCATACAGTATCATACATATTTATTAAAATCAAATATAAGAAATTTATCAGTGATCACAGTGATTTGTTACAAAAGATTATTATATGGAATTTAAAAATAAAATTATCCGATTATTATACATCAAAATACTGTTGATATATAGAACTGTATGTCTACAAATACAAAAAAAGTTAAAATATCGATAACGATGAAATAATTATGATTCGTAGGCGTTATAATCATCGAGTACAATATGTTACAAAATATACTTATAAATTGCACGAACATCATCGTATTTATATCTTTTCTTTTTCTGAAGCATCGTTTAAAGCTTAACATACATCACGTATTTCTACATCAAAATTCAACTGCGTGAAATATAATAACAATTAAGGAATATAATTTCTTCAAAATTGATTTTCAACATTGTAATTTCTTACATCTGCTCGATGTTGGACAGATTGGAAACGTATTTCGTATTAACTTCCATAATGTGTTATGGCATGTATATCTTTTCTCCATTCTTATATAAATTCCATTAAATACTACATTATGTAGTCATAGTGTATGTAAAATATTATTTATTTTTCAAAACGGATGTCCTTGGGGAGGATGTTGATTACCGCCATAACGTGGCAGAGTTGCATATCCACCGTAAGGAGGTATACTTTGATACGGATTATAACTTCCTGGAAGTAAAATGGCAAATATAAAATATATTCTGCAACGTCATGAATGATATGAATGAATCGACATTTTTTGTTCACCTTGTGCAGGATAAGGCATTGTTGCGTATGGATTATAAGTTGTAGGCATAGGCGGGGGCATATATGCGGGATATGGTGTATTGGGACCAGCTCCGTATGGCACAGGCATTCCACCTTGATAATGCGTAGGATATGGTAATTGCGATGGTCCACTTTGTTCTGTTTCCAACTGACTTTGACCAGATGTTGCTAAACATTTTTATATTTTAAAAATTAATCATCTAGAGAATATATACATACAGTATTATATTTATAAAAGTGTAGTCTGTACCTCCGTGATGAGATGGAATACTAGGAGTTGTAGTTGGTCCAGTATGACTCAAATTTGTCGTTAAATCTTTTAATAGTTCTTCTTTTTCGGTTTTTCGTGCGAAACAGAAATCCGATATTTTATTTTGGAAGACCACCAGCAACTGTACAAATATAAAAGATTGATTTTAATTCTAATATATAACATGATTTATGAAAATACGATTAATATTTACCTGTGTTAAATCGTTATAAAATTTAGCACCTTCGTTTAAGTTGCCTTTCAATTCTTTAAATGCATCATAAGCACTTGCTAGTTTACATAACATCATTTCTCTTGCGCTACCGCTACCAGATTGCTCGGCAGTAAATGCTGTATGACACTTCTAAATTTGACTTTAGAATTAGTATGCATCATAGAAAATATTGTAAATATGCAGAATAATTGTTACAATATAATTTTAAAATTCTTTATACATACTTGAATTTCAGCAATCAATTGTTCTTGCCGAGCAATACTATCTCTCACTTGTTTCTGTAAAGGTCCATAAGTTTTTCCTATACTTTCAACTGATAAATTTGGTTCATCAATTCCGCCATCTTTTGCAAGCGCTGACAAAAATGTTGCTTTCATATCAGTAGTGGCACATTTCAATTCGCTTTCTATAATATCGCGTTCCGTTTTTAATGTCTCAATCTTAAAATAATTAAGAATGATAAGTAATAAAAAAAAAATGATATAAAAAAATATTACTTTTTATAAGATACTAACATCTTCCATCAACTTCCTAAGTTGAGCCACAGTATGACTCTCTTGTACTGCTGATCCAGTTGGTACAGTATTAATCAAATCATTTTCACTTAAACTTAAAATTTCCATACCTTCCTTGTGATTTTCATATTTTTCACGTACAACCTATAAGATATAATTTCAAAAAATCTGTTGCATAAATAATTCAAAAATAATTGTTATGTAAATATTTTACATATTTTTCATGCATATATTCGTATATGTTTACCTTATCAGCGGACACAGCATTATTAATAATTTCACGATATTTCCGCAAAGTAATAGTAAACTGCTCTGTTAAACGACTACTAGGTATTCTTGTCCAACGTTCTTTAAATTGTTCTCTTAATTGATCATCAGACTGACGTTCTTCTTGTAGCATTCGTTCACACTAAAAATAGTAATGACTTAAGAGTTGTATCAAAAAGTTGAAGATAATACATAAATCGTTTATTTCTTTACCTCATCCAAAAGTTCTTTATTTCTTTGTAACAGATCAGGTAATTCTTTCATAGAATTTTCTAAAGCTTGAATTCCACCTGTATCTTTTACATGTTGAGCTTTTTCTAATAAGGACTGAGGCAATTCAGTTCCGCTTGTATCTTCAATAGCAGCTGGTAAATTTAAACTTGCCAATACACTAAAAACATAATTATTAGACATCAAATAAAAGTTCAGTATTTAACTAAATTTATACACATAATCATCGTACCCATTTAGAATTTGTGTCATTTCACGTAATTTGGATATTTCTGAGTTAACCAATTCATTACGCCGAACTTCATAAGATGATAACGCTTGATGCACACTAACAGGTAATAAATCAGCAAAAAGATCTAAAAACATGAAATGTGTATAAAATGCAATTTGCTTTAAATTCGTTATTATATATAATATACCTTTAAAGTTGGAGCTGAAAACTTCAGGCATTGGTATTAATTTTGCAACACTAGCTTTTCCAACTGGTTCCAAAGACTTTATATCAGGTATTCTTTCATGATAAATGAAGTTATTATCTTTTTTTACTTCTGTTAGATTTCTTTGAGCTCTGTTAGCATAATCTTGGAATAAATGAGATTTATTTGAACGTTGTTGAGCAGCTTTAAATAATTCTACAGCATGCTAAAAATATTTATTTCAAATATTTATTATTAATTAATTTTAACTTATTATCATATTTATATATTTAACATATTTTCAACTTTTAAGACTTACCTCTAATCTGGCAATTTCTTCTCCAATTAATTTGTTATTTTTGCATACTAATGACTGATAAAATTCAGTCATTGCCCGATATCCAGCTTGCTTTCCTGCAATCTATTATTATCATGTTATGAACAATTATTTAATATATGTTTCATATAAATTTCATATATAAATAAAATTATAAATTCATACCAAAGGAACCCATTCCTTATCCCAAAATGCCCTAAAAATCTCCTTTTGAAATAATTTTAATGCATCAGCATATAGTTCTTCTGCCTGTGCAGCTAGTTTAGCAATAATCCCATCTTTCATAGTATCATGAATTGCCTTATATACAAATATTTCTTGAGCCTGAGCAAGCATTAATGCAGATAGTGCTCCTAATGTTTCTGGACTGATATCTGGTGTTGGTTCTTGTTGAATAGCCATCATAACATTTGATTTGAGATAATTAAAGATACCAGCAGATTGCTAAAATTTATGTAATAGTTAAATAATTTTTTTTAATTTTTTACCAGATCAGATATTTATCTAACTTTTTAATTTTGTCATCATATTTAATTAATAAAATTAATCAGAATATTTACTTGAAATAACTTTGCAGCCAGTTTCAATCCTTCATCGCTATCTAAAGATTGTGCTGCTGCAACTGAACTTTGCAAAGCAGCAATATTAAATAACACACATACTTTTTCATATGCTAATGTACTAATTGCTGAAAAATTAAATATTATTTTAAATCATATTTTAAATCATATCATTGAAGTAATATATTATTTCAAATAATACCATTAAGGGAATACTATCAAAAATATAATTCAAAATATTCATATAATCAATGATAGGTTTATCTTATCTTTGTACCTATTCATAATCAATCGAGAATCAATGAATAATCTATATTATCTACTGTGTGAATAATAAAAAAAATATGTTTAAAATATCTTACTCAAACTGAGTTTTCCACCAAATATGGTACGATCAAATGCATCTTTCCACTTAAATGGAATTTGTAACTCATGTGCAGGTATTTTGCCTTCCAGTGCATATAACTGATCATAGTAACTAGTAAAAAAGAAAGAAAAAATACTCTTGTTTTAAAAAGATCGCTATCTGGAATTACTAAATTTTTATCAGTTATTAATAATGTTACTTCATTATGTTATAAACAATCGTATCTTTTAGCAATCTATTGAAATTACCTCAAAAATAAACTTAATAAAATGCTATTTATCTCTAATCCTGAGTCATTTTCAAAAAATGAAATGTTTCTTTTGTTGAAATATTTCACTTTACAATTTTAAAGTAGATTACAATAGTACGATAGCACTTCTTAATATAATGTCATAATTAAAATTAAAATAATAATTAGGGATGAGTCATACCTGTATATAACCTCCAAGGAACTTTCGTATTTCTCAAAAGCTCGCCACAAAGCATTGTTCCTCAGTTTACTGAAATCCGCGATTGCTTCCGTGTAATCTTTTTGATTACTTGCGTTGCTGTACGTTGATTTAATAACATTTGTAAGTGGTTTAATCACATCAACATCAGACGGTTTCTTCAACGGTATTGCAATTAGCTCAGCCATTTTGACGTGTGACTGAAATCGAACTGAATACTACATACTTATATCTAAGATATTACACGTATCTAATATTACGACATATGATATCTTTGCGGTATATAGTATGCCATTCTGGTTCTAAAGTTCTTTAGTCACAAGAATATCACAAATTTAAAAACAGCAGGTTTTTAAGTTTATCGTGATTTTTATTCATTAGATGTAATGTGCTCTTCTATTTGTTTAGAAACTAAACTGTCTGAATTGTTAAATTTCTTATCATAAATTTTATTTTTCTCTTTAATGACGCAATGAATATTTGTGTGTGTGTGTCTCTCTCTTTCTCTTTCTCAATAAAAATAGTATAATGATATAATTTTGATTTATGATAAGAACGTGCAAAGAATAGATAAATTATTTAATCTAAAATTTTAAAAATAAGTTTTTAAATACACATGCAAAATTTATGCGATATTGACATGGTACATCTTATTACGCATTCATATAACAGTTTAATTTTCACACAAGAGTATAAAAAGTAATATTGAATTGTTCCGTTCATAAATTATTTTGAAATTATTAGAACAATTCGCGCCCCTAAACGCGTGTCTTCATTAATTATGAACTAGATCACGTATGTCGCTGGTTGTCATACATTATCTACGTCATCTTTAGATATTTGTAGATGAGATTTTCATAAGTGGTTTGGTGAAGCTTTAATTTTGTTCTGTTGTGTCTAATCCATATAAATTGAGGTAACAATAAATAATTACAAAAAAGAAAAACAGCAGAGAATTATACTATACAACAAATATTTTACGTCACAGTATAAAGTAAAGCATATGAAATTATCATCTGTGTTCAAATTTCCTTGAGACGTATATAATATAGTAACATTCTTTTGAAAACTAGAAAATATTAAAAAAGTAATACAAATATGTTGTAACTGCTCAAGGTGTTATTTGTCCTATTTTAAAATTTTATTCCCGTCAGTTAACTTGCGCGAAAAGAATACTATCGATTTTATCGTAAAGACAATAAACCGAGAAATCAGGGTTATTTTCTTTTTTTGTTTATTAAAAGTATATGCATAGAGATTTTTAACGAAATAATATTATCGTTATTTTATATAAAAATTGAACAGTTTAATCCTAATTATTCTTAATTAGAAATACATATATGTATTTGCATAATTGCAAACATGACCATGTAACAGATATAAATATATCTGACGAATTATTAATAATTATAAATAATTCATGATTATTTAGTCTTCTCATCTTTTGCGATGACATTAATATTTTTATCACTATTTATATTTATTTGTACAGGTTAATTTTAGATCATAGAAATGACACTGATCGAAGGTGTTGGAGATGAAGTGACAGATTTTTTTATTGTTGTGGTTGTGCTATTAGTAGGATGGCTTGCTTGGTATTCTACAAGTATTACAGATCAACCATTAATACGCACAGTACTTGTAATACATCGAACACGCACACGTCTTGCTGAACTCAGAGCTAATCATCAAAATGCAAGTTCATTTACACGACCTCCAAATTTGGAGATTACAGAAGAAGAAACAATAGAACCGATCACAGATGATAATAATGGCAATTTACAAAGTTGTCCTGAACCTTCTATTGCAGGTGATATATATGCCCTATTTAAAAATATTTTTAAGAACATAATAGGAACGTTAAAATTATTTATTGTTTGTTACATTAGATACAAATGAAGAAATTTCTTCTGACACACATAGAACATCTGAAGCAACAGCTACAGAAGAAGTACTTATTGAAGCTATGGATTCATTTAATAATGATAGTGCAACAAAGTTGCAAAAGCAAACCAAGATAAACCCTCCAAAAGAGACAACTATATCTACATCAACATGTAATGAACCTATAGAACATAAAACTGAAAATCTTTCAGAAATTGATGTTAATGAAATTAGCATAAAACTTAAGTTTATAAATGATGATCAAAAAATGGTTACTGGTAGCTTGAAAGAATTACTTGGAGATTTTAAAAGGTTATTGTTATTTAACAAACTTTCTATGTTCAATAAGTATTTACAAATGGAATATATGTATGTAATCTTTTATATTTTTCAGGAGGCATTTTCAAACGGAGCTTGATGCACAAAAATTAGTACGTTTAGTTTTTAATGGTCGAGTACTGCAGCCTGATAGTCAAACATTGGAGAAATGTGGTCTCTATAACAATTGTGTAGTTCATTGTTTGGTTCATCAACCACGACCAAATCCATCTCAGACATCAACATCAACATTAGATAATTCGTCGCCGATTTATTTTAATCCTCAATCATTTTCTGATATTCCTGTTAGCACAGGAATTAGTTCAGTACATAACGAATGGGATTTGAGTAGACCATTAGTGATTATTTTAACTGTCATGTTAGCTTTCGCTTGGTACTCTCGATACCATTATGCTCAATTTTTTACCGCAAGTACTACGCTCGCGTTGTATGCGCTCACTGCAATTTTCGCAATGTCAGTAGCTTTAATATTATGTCATTAGTTAGTAATTTCTTTCTTAATCAAGACAACAAAAATATCGCGTGAATTTACAAAAAATAAAAATTTAGACATTATTTTTGGAACATGATTTTATAAAGATAAATATGTGTTTTTAATGTAACATTATTTAAACACATTGGTTGTTGACATAAAGAAGAATATGAAGTTATTGTAATTTTTATCAACATATAAAAGAATTCAATTCTTTTATATAATAAACAAATAAGAGGTGACGTATACTTAGATAATATTGTTGCATTTCAAATTTTAAATCAATTTTTGTGCATTAAGTTCAAAATCTTTATTTATATATTTAATAAGCAAATTTCTTTAGGCTTACATAAAATATTAAATTATAAACAGAAATATACATAATATAAAATTTATAAATTTGAATGATTAGTATTTTACTAATTTGCAAATACTTGTTTATTTAAATATATTAATTTTTGATATTCAACTATTGAATTATAATAAATATTATAAACGATAATTGCAATGGCGCTATATTATTTTTAACAAAAAATTTCTTGTATATTTATAATTTCTTTATTGACTTTGGGATTTACATTATCTATGTGTGACTTAAACTTGAATATGTTGTGCAATTATTATAAATTATAGTTACTAGAACAAAATCATTATACTTTTATAATCTTCCAAAGTTTCTAACATTAGAATGAAAATTACCTATAATGAAAATGTTTTTTAAGCACCAAGTCTTAACTTCAAGCAAATTCTTTATATGAACTGTTAAGGAAAAATAAAAATCAACAGTGTGTACATACATATAATGTATTAAGCAATCATAATTATTAGAAGATATTATACTTCATATTTCCAGGAAAGGAAATTTGTTATTTTTTCTGATAAATAATAATCGTTAAAGACAGTGATTTATTGTTACTTCTATAATACACTGTACTATAGTAGTCTATAAAAAAAACAATTTATGTAGTACTGTCTCACAATTTTTATTGAATGTGAAATAAATAGTTATTTATTTGATGTTTTTTTTATATTAGCATATTTTATAGTTTACTAATTGATTTTATATAACTAAAAATTTATTCTTCATCCGAATTTAACAATATTTAAAAGTGAATTCAATAAAAAAAGATACATTTGTATATTATATAGTTTATAATATAATCGTTTATTTTTTAATTATAAAACTGTTGCAATTACATACTGTTCTTCACAAAAACTGAGGAATTCATAAAGTCTTATATAAAATAAATAAATATAATGTATGAATAAAATTATCATCAATCCAAAATCAATATTTAAATACATAATATGTTTTAATTTAAATTTAAATAAAATTATTAAAATTTGAGAAAAATTTTAAAAATGTATGTAAATAAAAAATAAATAATCAATGAAAAATCATTTTTAAGTAAAAGTTATCTTAATTGCAGTGTCTTACCATATAAATTATTTAGCACCTTAGGTATAGGTTCAAAAGTATTTAATTTATTGAAGAAAATATTTAATTGTTCTTTTAACATTATGTTATTTAAATAAAAGTTTCCTTTTGGATTTTCTAAGAGAATAGTACCTTTTCCTAAGGTGCTATTAATATTAATAAATTTACAAGCTGGTTGTTTTAATACTGTAGTTGTTTGAGTTGTAGTCAAACCTATTTTTGTTACTTTTATTGTTTGTTTATGTAATGATAAAATATTTATTTCTTCTGATATTGGTTTATTGTTTATGAGTAAATTATAAGCGCAACCATAAATACCAAATACTAATTCAATTTCGTGTTTTAATTGTTTGTAAGAAACAGGAACTAGTAAATTAGGAGTTTCTAACAGTACAGTTCCAATATAGCTGGTTGTTCCAAACCTTGGCTTCATGCCTATAAGTTCAATATTTACGTATTTTACAAAAGGTTCTACGATTATTTCGTCATTTTTAATTTCATCCATTTTAGTTTTTACTAAAATAAGTTTCATATCAATGCCTTTAATTTTTTGCATTTCTTCTATAATTACATTTGCATTTTTGGGCATTTTTGATATATTTTCTTGTGGAGTTTTAGTTGCATTTTCTATGAAATCTTTATGACTAACAATAACTTTTGCTAAATTACTATTTTGATCTTGTATTTCATAATATGCAATGGCTTCATCTGATGGGACTAATTGAGCTTTCTTTCTAAGTTTTTGAACTCTATTGATTATTTCTCTTGCTACTCCTTCATTGTACATGCTTTCATCAGGTGTAACATCTAGCAAAATTAAAACATTTCCTTCACTATGGGCTTCATATTGTTTTGATAATTGTTCAGCTGCTGGGCCTGTGAAGCTAAACATTAGCCGTAAATCTTGTTCTTCTAATTTATGACCTTGAACATTAATTTCCTTTTTTGCAACAAACACCTGTAATTCTTCATCGGAAAGTTCTTTAATAGCTTGAGTAACAGATTTAAATTCTCCTTTAAGACGAGCTCCAAGTATTTTATGATCTGGTTCTGCTCTCAATTTAACACCATACTTTTCTTTGTCTGTAGTAATAGTTAATTCTTTCACATTAAGTTCTTCTAGAATATACGATTTCAAAGATTCTATTTCTTTCAATACTTCAGCATCTTGATGAATTACTACAATTCCTGGCAGTGGATATTTAACAGGAATTGTTTTCCTATCCCTGACAACACGTCCCAATTCAATTACAGTTTGCATATAAGATACAGCTTTTTCGATCTTTTCATCTATTAATTCTAAATTAGATTCTGGTATCATTTGATAGTGAACACTATCCATGTTAATGTTGGATGATCGAAGTAATTTAACTAAACGTTGAAACATAAATTCTGTTAAAAATGGTGTAAATGGTGCATTCACGCGAACCATTATATAAAGAACAGAAAATAAAGTTGTCAAAGCTTCTTGACAATCAGTTGCACCACCATCTCCCTTTATACGTTTTCTGTTCATTCTTACATACCAATTAGTAAGATTATCTATATATTTTATCAAGTGAGGTACTACAGTATATAACTTATAAGCATGCATTTCTCGTTTAAAAAATTGTAATAATGTCTGTGTAAAAGATAAAATCCATCTATCCATTATATTATTAGAACAGACATTTTTAGACTCATCATATACAAAATTAATTTTCTCTTCTCTTTCAAATCTTTCAATATTTTGCATTAAGAATCTAAATGCATTGTACCAAGGCAAAAATACATCTTTTATAACATCCCTAACTCCCTCTTCCTTGAAACGCAGATTTTCTGCTCTTACAACAGGAGAATTAATTAAGTACAAACGAAGGGCATCTGCTCCATACTTATTAATAATTTCCACAGGATCTGGATAATTCTTTTTACGTTTAGACATTTTTTGTCCATCAGATGCAAGTATTAAACCATTAGCTACTAGATTTTTAAATGGGGCTTTCCCAAAAAGAGCTGTTGATATAACTAACAAAGTATAAAACCATCCACGAGTTTGATCAATACCTTCTCCAATAAAATCAGCTGGGAAATTCTCTTCAAATTCTTTTCGATGTTCAAAGGGATAATGCATTTGTGCATATGGCATTGATCCAGATTCAAACCAACAGTCAAAAACTTCTGGTACTCGTCGTAAAGCCGAGCAGTTTGGTCGTTTTGACAATATAGTTAAATGATCTATACTTTCTCTATGAATATCTGTTATTTTTATACCAGTCAAGTCTTCCAATTCTGCTATACTCCCTACACATACAATTTCTTGTCCGTCTTCTGAAATCCATAAAGGAATTGGATTACCCCAATAACGATTTCTACTAATAGCCCAATCACGAGCATCTCTTAACCAATTACCAAAACGTTTATCCTTAATATAATCTGGTACCCAATAAGTATCACTATTTGCTGTAATAAGTTTATCTTTTATAGCTTCTACTCTAATAAACCATGAGGGTACAGCTTTATATATTAATGGTGTATCAGATCTCCAACAATACGGATAACTATGTTTAGTAAGACTGCTATGAATTAATCTTTTATTTGCCTGGAGATACTTAATGATATCCTTATCAGCATCTTTTACATATTTTCCAACAAAATCATGTACAGGTTCTACAAAACGCCCACAACTATCAATTGGACATATGATTTCTTGATCTCTTGTTATAATACCAGCTTCTAAACAACACCGGTAATCGTCTTCTCCAAAATATGGTGCTTGATGAACAATACCTGTTCCAGTTTCTGCTGTAACGTAGGTATCATTTAATACTACGAAAGCACCTTTTTCTCTTAGATACTGAAAATATGGAAAAGGAGGCTTGTATATTTTTCCTTTTAAATCACATCCTTTTCTTTTACCTTGTATAGTATAGGAATCTTTAGATTTATAAATAAGATCTAAACTTGACTCTAATATAATATACACATTACCAGATGATTGATCTTTAACTTCGACATATTCAAAGGTAGGATTACAACATAGTGCCAGATTACTAGGTAGAGTCCAAGGAGTAGTAGTCCAGGCAAGAATAGAAACACCTGGTTCATCCACTAAAGGAAATGATACAACTACAGAAGGATCGACAACATCTTTATAATTTTGTCCTGATTCAAAGTTAGATAAAGGTGTGTTACAACCCGTAGAGAAAGGCATTACTTTAACACCTTGGTATACGAGACCTTTATTGTATAATTCTTTAAAGATCCACCAAATAGATTCCATATACCAAGGATATAATGTTTTGTAATCGTTCTTGAAATCTATCCATCTTCCGATTCTACCTACGATAGTTTCCCATTCTGTTGCATATTTCATTACAATGTTTCGACATTCTTTATTATAGTTTGCTATTCCCATTTTAGCAACATCATCAGGACCTTTTATATTCAATGTCTTATCTACTTCGAATTCGACAGGTAAACCATGGGTATCCCAGCCGAATCTTCTTTCCACATGGTACCCAGATTGATAAGCATACCTTGTTACAATGTCTTTTATTGTTCCTGCAAGTATGTGTCCATAATGCGGTAATCCCGTAGCAAATGGTGGACCATCGTAAAATGAATATTTTGGTTTTCCTCTCGACAACTTTAGAGAATTTTGAAATGTATCGTGCTTTTTCCACAGTTCTAGAATAATTTCCTCTTCTTTTGGAAAATTAATTGTTTCTGGAAGTTTTTCTATCATTTTTCTGAAAATTCAATAACTACTTCACAAATTATTTGGTACCGGCTGATACGTTAATGCAATTATTAGATTCAAGATATCATATACTACAGCAAGCACGTTGCCAAAATTACACGTAAAATTTTAGAGGTTAGCGCTACAATTTGTAGTACATACATGCTTTTGTGAAAAGTTAATATAACATTCAAAACTTGAAAACTTGAATAAATTATACTCTTTTATTTTCGGAATTCAGATTGATTTAAAATTTTAGTATTTATTTTGGTATCTTTTACAATATATAAATAAAATCTAATTGAGATTTTATATGTATGTAATTATAATTACAAAATTACATAAGTATATGTTCTTTTATTTTAAGTTATTCTCTTAGATGTACATACCATTAAGTAGATAGAAATTTTATTTAATTATAAATATTATTATTATATTTATTTCTGATATCATTTATATTAAAAACATATATTAAAAACATTCTTTATTTACATAACAAATGAAAGTCATATGAAATATAAAAATTCAAAACACTCGTGACTAGAAATTTCCTTATGCGTGACATTTCCGCATCCACAATATAGATTAAACATTTATGATTGTTGCGTAATCTGCGGTATTTTTTGCCGTTGTCCACCAATATAAATAACTTGTCTTTGTTCATCTGGATGAATAAGTTCATCTGTATGCTTCCAACGCCATTTCTTTTCGCTTTCTTTAATTCGTCTATGATCGATGTAACTAATGACGCAGCTAGTGGGAATCCATACAATGGCAGTAATAATTATAACAGCACCTACTATATTATCTTTTAAAAATCGCATAACTTTATTAATATTTATATCCTCAATAATATCCCAAAATCGTTCTACTACATCTTGAATTGTTTTTTCACAAACACCCTGGAAATATTCTATAATATAGATTCTACAATAGTTCAAATTCTTTTGAATGATTAACATCTTTTTCAATTTTACCTTGTTACAAAAGCCTTGAATACATGGTGTTCCATCAGGTAAAATATCTTGAGGATCTATGGGGAAACATGTTTCATTCAAACTCATTCGACAGCATCTTTTACATGCATCTCCAACTATAAATAAAAATATGATATTAATGATACATATTATCTTTTAGCTTATTGTCCGTAATTGTATATAAAAACCATACTTGTATCACACATGCAACTCTGCAAACCCTGTGTCTCACAATATGGTACACATTTTCCGAGTCTGCATTGACCTCTTTCAAGACAACCTGTACCATCCTTCATTGGTGGAGATCTAGGACATTCACTAGATGCTCCTGTACAGCGTGATTCTTGTTCGCATGTAGCATACTGTGCATCGCGACATTTTACACCTAATGGCATAAATGCACAACCTTGACAACAGGGTGAATTTTTATCACTGAAAAAATATATAATATTAAATATTATGAAAGATACGTAATTTGAAAAAAATAGATTAGAAATTTATATAACAATAGATAATTACCTGCAAACTGCTCCCTGATTTCTACGAAGTTTACAGTTTTTATCACAGCAAGCATCATTGTCTTCTGTACCAAGTAATCCTGCATCACATTCTTCATCTCCTTCGACTCGTAAATTACCACAAAACGATTCTTCTGGTTCAGAAAAGCAGCGGCCTGATTTTGCTTGTAATACTTTTCTAATGGATCTTAAACTACATGGTGAAAAACGCTAGCCCATAAATAATAAGTATTTTCTCAGCATCATTTTTTATAAGTAATAAAAATAAGTATTTTCTTAATATCATTTCTTTTTATATTAATTAAATTTACCTTGTTATTCACATCATATCCACTAACACTATATGTGTACATTAAGTATGAACCTCCTTGACTAGCACTTGGACTGCATTCCTATTAAAAAATGCCTTATTTAATATGCGAGAATTACACTACTTCTAATAAATTGATTTTTTAAAATCAAATAAAAATTCAAAAAATTACTGTTATATCTGGATCATGTTCAGAACCCCAATTGTGTCCAAATTCGTGTGCAGTAACTAAATCTGCTTCTCTTGTGATAACTCTTTGTCCATAATGATTCCTACTAGAACTTAGACCTGAATTGAGGTATAATGTGTAACCATTTTTAAAGTATTCTAGAACATTTAAAATAAAACATTTAATAAAATTATTCATTTATTTGTGAATAGATTAAAAATTCCATTTATATACCTGGTGTACAAATTCCACCTACTGAGTTTCTACGAGGTGATCCAACATATGCCAATCCTAATATACCACCTTCGAATTTAAGATCAGTAAATAAATGAGCTAAGCAAAAGTCTTTGTGACTATATTCTCGACTAAAAACCTAAGTACAATTTATATAAATTAATTAATAAATTAAAATTTTAGTATTTGGCAAAATTGAAAATGGTTTTACCTCAAGCAATGTACGAACATCCCACTTTTCTCTGACCATGTTATAGTGTGTTTCACCACCTCTTACACGAGTAGGTTCACTGTGAACTACGATTTTTTTAATAACAAAACCCATTCCTTTAAACCCATCTTGTTCTTGTCGTTCTTGCCATAAAGTATCATTGTAAATTTTATGTACTCTATCAATTAAACTTATCTAAAAAATCATGAATTATTATCTAAAACAAATCTACTGATATTTATACCAAGTAATGTAATTATTTACTAAATAATTAATTGTGGTTTTTGTACTGCTAGCACCCATCTCTTGATAGAAGCGATAGTCAGCAACTAATAATAATGGACATCTTGTTTTTGTTGGAGTATATTCATAAGTTTCTGTTTGTCTCTTTGTCCTGGAATGTTTATTTAATTTAAAATCAGATTTTTCTTCGTCCTCTTTCTCCTCCCTATTATTTACTGGAATGTCTACAATATAAATTTTATATAAAAATATAATACTTTTTAATATAATTTCTCATTTAAGACAATAAATTGACCTAATTCTTCTTTTACATATCCACAAGTTTTGGGAGCACCATGGGTATGCCCCTCCCCATGTTCAAAATGTTCCCAACTTAATTTAACATCTGATGATTTATAAATAATCATTGTTTCATTTCCTAAATGAGGAAGATGTCTCCAAGATGGCTATGATAGATAACAAAACCAAATTATAATTTTCTATTATTTATATTGAAAGGCATTCTACATTACAAATACAGATATACCTCAATGTGAAATGTTTCATCAGAAATAGTAATACTACCAGTAAGAATACCATTATCAATATGCATTTGTGCATGAGAGTCAATTTCACCAAATACTCGTCCATGATAAAAACTTTCATGATCTTGAATAAAATAAATTATTGATCATTTAGAAAAATATATTTTTTCATTAGATATTAGATATAAATATTATTTTACCTAAATGTATAGTCTTTTGTTCTCCATTACCATTTACTTCATATGCTTTGAATTTGGAATGAATAACTTCTCTTCTTGGTGTTAAAATTAATCGAAAATATCTTCCATGGGAATAAAACTCTAATTCATTTATTTTATTATAAGGATGATAACTATGCTGGATACCACGTTTTACAATATTATGTTGAAAATGAGATATATGGAGAGTTTCATAATATTTCAGATTTCTATGAAGACCATCTGAAAAAATACTTTATAATTTGAAAATTATACTAAATGAGTTGAAAGCTGAATATGTTTTAATGCTTTAATGTAATATAAATTCTTATAAAATAATATTAATATAATTTATATAAAATACTAAATATAAATTTTCAATGAATAATACGAAAACTTACAAGTGTTTTGTACAGTAAATAAGGTATAATATATTATAAATATATTTTGAAATTCCATATTTGTTAAAATTATCACATATTAAAAATTTCACATATTAAAATTTTATTGATTAGACATAATACTTTAAAGATGACGATTCATTGTGAAAGCATTTTTTTTATCATTAGTTAGGTTGTATTAGTTGCATTATTTGCATTACATTCTCCAACCTCAACATTCAATGTAAACAGCTTTTCTTAAAGTATAGAATATAGAGAATTGTTACGCGATATCAAAATGTATTCGCTCAATGGTGATCAATTGGAACTAGATAAATTTCAAATATATAAAGAAAATATTCTTTGATTATATAAAGAGGATTCATCAATAAATTAATTTAAATAAGCATCAATAAATTAATTTTAATAAGGTTCGTATCTTTTATAATTGATAAAAATAAATAATAACTATAACACAATGCGTATAAAGAAAAGTCAATGTTTAGATTTAATTAATCAATTTTATTACATTTTGGATGTTTATTACATTTTTAATAAAATATTTACTATAAAATGAAGTTTATACTTACTATATATAATATTTGACAGAAATTATTTTTTAATTTGCTAAAACCTTGAAAATAGTTTTTATAAATTCTTATAAATAATAATTCTTATAAATATCAGTGAATCTGTCTTGTTATATTTTTGATGATAAGTGATAAGCATTATAGTCAATGCGAATTTTTTCTGCGGATACTTTGATATTTTGAACCATGTTCTCTAGAACATGCTAGAAGTTTTTTGGTACTGCAGAGATCCTAGAAACAAAAAGATGTCAGCGCGACATTGACTCAGTGTGTACTAGTCACTCGCAAACGTTGGTTCAAGTTTACGTATCAACGTATTTGTAATTGTATACAACGTGTGCAATAAAATTAAAATAGAATAAAGTTAGAAATGTCGCAGGAAGAAAATTTATTGCATTGCTATAATCGTGGCTGTGGAAAGAAATTTGATCCGAATAATAATAAGGAAGGTTGTTATATTGAAGACATTATTTATTACATTACATAGAAGTTGCATTAAAAAATTTAGAAATGTAAATTCAAGGCCTTAATTGTTTATTTCATTGTTAGTTAAAAATATTATCTTTTTAGGCGATTGTATTTATCATCCTGGATATCCGGTATTTCACGATGCTTATAAAGGTTGGTCTTGTTGTAATAAAAAATGCACAGATTTTACAGAATTTTTAAATATTAAGGGCTGTGCAAAATCATGTCATTCAAATATCAAACCAGCAGAGCCAGAAAAACCTGTTGTTGATAAATCAAAATCAAATGAAGTGATTCAAATGATTACTCAACCTCTTAATAATAAACCTGCTTTACAAAGGCCTTCTTTTGAAACTCTACAAGTTGTTTTAATACCAAATGTGTCACCTACTTTATTAGAACAAATTAAAGGATTAACTTGTAATATATCAGAAAATATATGTGAAAGTAAAGTACAAATTGGACAAAGCTGTAAGAATAATTCATGTAAAGCTATATATAATGGTTCTGCATCTGATGATGAAATATGTAATCATCATCCTGGTACTCCTATCTTCCATGAAGGAATGAAATATTGGTCTTGTTGTCAAAAGAAAACTACAGACTTCTCTATATTCTTGGAGCAACCAGGATGTACACAAGGAAAACATATATGGATTTCTAAGGTATGTACATATCTTATTATCTTGATAATTTTTTATTTACAATTTTATTTACAATTTAATTTACTTAATAATTGTAATAAGTTTGCCATGTAAAAAATTAATTTATTGTCTTCCAGACTGGCAAAAGAGTTAAATGCAGAATGGATTGGCATCAAACAGGATCGTTTGTTGTAGTTTCAATCTATGCAAAGAAATACCAACCAGATCAATCATCTATTAAATTGAATCCTATAAGATTAACTGTGGATTTGCTTTTTATAGAGGAAAATTCTAGATATAATCTTGATTTAGAATTAAGAGGAGTATGTATTCTTATATAATACTAATTATTAATATATTATCAAATATTAAATATTAATTTGTACAAAATTCCATTTTTATAGATTGTTGATATTACCCAAAGCAGTGTTAATATGCTTCCTACTAAAGTAGAAATTAAATTAAAGAAAGCAGAACCCGGGTCATGGGCAAAACTGGATTTTGCTAGAATAACTGAAGAAGAAACTGAAGAAAATGGTCAAAATGATGAAAATATTAGTGCACAAGTTGAAGCAGTGGATCTTAGTGATCTTTAAACATTCATACCTAAATAATTCATTAGGATAGGATAACATTGTAAATTATGTACCTACGTTATTTTTAAGGATAATACTTTTATTTAAAGAAGTATTTTTTAATATTGACACAATTATTTCCAAGAGAATGAATATTTAATATTCATTTCATTATTTTCATAATAAAAAACTATTTAAAAATATTATTAAAATTTATATTTAAAAGAAATATAGAAGAAATATAGAATCTTTATTACTTATCATGTTTTATTTATGTTATATTTTCTCAATATCAATAAATTGTTTTCAATTTATATTGTAATCTGATTTAGATTAAGAGAGCTTTAAAATCAGATTTGAAATAAATTAATTAAAAGTTCATAAATTTTCGATAAAATTAATATTTCTTGTATAGTCATTCTCATTTCTCATTGCATGCAATTCAGATTGAACTTAACCTATTTTTAACAGTTGAGTATTGCTTAACCTCTTACATTTATTGTTTTCTATCGTTTATGTAAATAAATTCATCTAGAAAACTATATAGTTTATGATTATTTTATTAAAAAAAAAAATTAAATTGCTTATAATCGTTAATTACATTAACATGCTAGAGAATCATTTTTTATAACCTTTTCAGTTTAGTAGGAGATATTTAAAGATTATATAATATATACATATTTGATACTTTCAATAAACTATTAGTACCATTATGAGTAATCCAACAAATAAATTGCGGGTAAGAAATTGATATTTTTTAATATTATATATATATATATATTTTTTAACATATATTTACATACTTTAGATACTTGCAATTCATGGATATGCTCAATCAGATGTTATTTTTAAATCAAAATTAGGTTCTATAAGAAAAGGATTTAAAAAAGAGGTTGATCTTATATTTTTAAGAGCTCCGCATAAAGTTTCAATGAAAAATAATTTTAATATTGATGTAGAAGAAGAAGGTATTGTCTTTTATGAATTTTATAAATTAAATTAAAGATTGAAGTTTATATGTTTATAATTAGTGTAATAATTATAGTTTAATGTTTTAAATGGTTTAACATTACAAAATGTTTTGAATATTATAGCATACGGATGGTGGTTTAATACAGAAGATTATATATTTAAAGCAACTGTTCCAAGTAATTTAGCTGTAGGTTTTGAAGATAGTGTGGCTGTAATAGAAAAAGCATTTCAAGAATCTGGTCCTTTTGATGGCATTCTAGGCTTTTCACAAGGTGCAGCATTTGCTACTCTACTTTGTTTTATGTACGAAAAGAATTGTAAGTTTATATCTGATATCAAAATAATTATAAAATGGGATATGGATTAAAAATAATTAATCATTTTGTAGTATTGCAAATTAAGTTTGATTTTGCAATTATTATATCAGGATTTAAATCATTATGTACACCTCATGCAGCATATTATAATGGAAAAATAAACATACCCTCTTTACATATCTATGGAAAAACTGATCAAGTTATACCAACAGGTAAAACATTTTTTAATAGATTACTAAAATAAATTATTATTATTATTGTTATTGTTATTATTATTATTATTATTATTATTATTATATGTTTTCTTTTTTCACAGAAATGGCAAAAGAAATTTGTGAAATGTTTATAAATAAAACAAATATAATACATGAAGGTGGTCATTATATACCAAGTAAAAAAGAATATTATAAAGAATTTATTATAGAAATGTTCTTAAATAAAAACAAAAGTAATTAATATCTGTTTAGACATATATCACATGAATATAAAAAACAGTATCATAATATATGGTCTATAAACATTTATGTAGACTATAAAATATAAGTACCATTGAGCGATATTAGTAAATTTATTTAAATCAATAATAAGTAAACATTGTACAATATGCACTAGAGATGAGATTCAGTAACATTTTATATTTAAACTTGTATATGGTAATCAAAATAAGAGAGCAAGAACACAAATCAAGATGATTTTATAAAATAATACATAATTATTTACTGTTTTACATTAATCATTATATGATTAAAAGTTTAATTGTTTTATAAAAGCCACCACTAATTTTAAATGTTCAGTATTTGAAAACTTAAATTACATGTGTATTAAAAATGTATTAAATAGTGCCTCACTTTAATAGAATAGAATATGTTAATTGCTTAGCTTAATTATTCATGCATACTTTCGTACAAATTTTATGTTTATGTTATGTATATATTTTATGTATAGCAAGTTAAATGCTCAAGTAGATATCAACTGCCTTGGTTTATATGCTTGATTACTCATTATTTTTAATTTCAAGATATGTAGATTTATATAGTCTACCATTGCAGTAATGATCTAGAAATGTTAGCATTTTGTTCAAATCCTCTTAGTAATACCTACAGTATTGAACATTCTATGATGAATGTATGTAAATAAGTAATTAAATTAACTTATTGCACTATAGTGACATCTTAATTTTTTTAAAAATATTGTTAGTTTAAGCAATTTAGACCTACTTAATGCATTAAGTAATTTTTTAATACTGCAATATATTTGCGAGTATTTCATATGTTAAATGTTATATGAATACATTCAATGTATTCATATATTGCATAAAACTGCATATAATTTTTTAAATTCATAATTCTATATAATAAATATACATGCAATTTTTCAAATAAATAAATTAACGAATACACGTAAATAAAGTTAACAAGGTGTTATGGTATAGTAAAATATAATTGATAGAAGTATTGTATTTTATACCAAAATGATTATTTACTTGATGTAATGTATCAAATGTAATCAATTTGTTAAAATTACGTACACTATTTATAATTATCACATTTTCAAATTTCTATTTTGTAACTGTAAAACCTAATATTCGAAGTTTTTACAATCAATATTTTTTAATTTTGCATTTTAAGCAATAAGTGACATTGCTATATATATTTTACAAAATTTGAGGCATTTTATATTTCAAACTTAATAAAAAAATTACTTTATAAACTAAAAAGATGTATTCAAATAAAACTTAATTTAACTGGAAACATAAAATGTTGTGAAATAAAATACAATCTACAATTATAAATTACATATGAGTGAGGTATTTGGTCTGTTTTGACAATAGTAACAAAGTGTTGAAATATTTTTGTACTTGTAAAAACGATTACAATAAATTCAAATAGAGTACTGAATTATAAATTTTACTTTTTATTATTTTTTTCAGTCAAATATTCACGCAGTACCTGATTATTGCTTACAAGAAAACAACAAAACCCAATTAACAGTAGTCTAAAAAATTAATAATAATCTCACCTAATAAAGTTAAAAAGCCTCAAAATACTTTTAACATTTGTATAAAGTTGTTAATATTCACATCATATTTGTTTAAGCTGTTAGCCTTTTTGGAAATATTTGACAATTATAAAATTGTATTGAAGTCAACACTTTATCATCAGTTGTTTCATGATGTTTCAAGGTGATTGTTCCTGTCCGTTAGCTTCTTGAGATTTCATGACATCTGGTAAATCAGGTGGTAATGAGAATGGTGTCATCTCTAAAGGTTCAAATTGACCATTTTCTTGACGTACAGCTAATCCTACTAATGCAGGGCATTGTGGTTTTGCAGTTGCCGATGTTAATCCATAATCAGATAAAAATTTACTATCTGACATTAGAACATTGTCCTTGTTGAACAGCTGTTGATTCACAGGTGGTATTTTTAATATACCTGTGAGATGATTATATTTGATTCTAAATTATTTTAATTTAAAAGCTACAGATATTTATACGTTTCATAAAAATTCCAACAAAAAGGAGAAAAAAAAGTAAATGAAAGTTATATAGTGAAATGTCATGTTATGTGAATATACAACTCATGTTCCTGTAAATATTGAATTTTTTACCTTCTATAATTTTTTTAAGTTCAAGAACTGTCGTATTATCTTTGGCATCAGTAAATATCGTCATATTTTTTCGCCGAATCATTAGAAATACATCCTAAAAAGAAAATCTCGATTATATTTGAGGTTATCTTATTCTGGGATAAATCACAGAAACACGATAAGGAATAATTGAATATTGATAAAAATTTACCATTATGAATTTAACTATATATTTAACTGACAATGATAATTAATATATAGTGTTTTTATACTACTGTTTTGTTGATTATTGTTTACTTGCAGTCCCTCAGGTTAGAGATGAAAAGTTAAAATAAGGTAGACATTCACGGACAACATGATCATATAAAACAGTTTATTTGATTGGTTCTTCTTTCTAAATCCAAATTCTGTTTGGTGCGTTGTTTGTCTCTTTAACCAATCATGAATTGATTTCATATTCATTCATAACTATGAATCTCTAAATCAGAAATAATATTTTTGAACATTTAAGTACTCGTTTATTGATATATATATTATATATCAAGTTGATAAATAAAATAAAAAATAAACTATTATAATTAAATTGATACACAAATTAAATTTGTCTTTGACTAGAAAATATATTCAATAATTCGAAGATACATATATTTATAAATATAGAATTATAATATTACTGTGTGTCAATAGGTATATACAAGGATTTTATAATTAAGAGTTACAAATTCTTTATAATCATTAATTTTCATAATTAACATAAATAAAAATTTATTTTATTTATATAACATTTACATATTTCATTAACATTAAAGGCAATGTAAAATATAAAATTTCAATAAATATAATTTACATAAAATAAACCTAAAAAAGAAATTTATATTTACAGAAATGCCCTGTTAATTGAAACGCGATTTTACTTACTATCCCTAGCAAATTTTGGAACTAACTTCGTAGAGTAAGCTCTAGTAGGCTATGTACAGTATAAATAAATGTGCTCGGCATTTATATCTCACCGACACTCAATAGACAAGATTCAGAATTTCTTAGAAATAAGGAAATTTAAACAGTAATAAGTTAGAAAAATATTATTAACGCTATACTATACTGATGTAAAACAAGGGAAAATGATTCTGAACTATAATAGGTATAGAATAGGTATAGGAATACCTATAATAAGTATAGAATTATAGTTTGTAATTTGTATAAAAGGTTTTTTCAGAAGGATTGGTTATACATAACTATATACTAGTTTCCAAAGGAAGGTCCTTGGCCTTAGAAACGCGAAGGCGTCGAACATTCGTGAATGAATCCTGTCTGCAGTGACGTCATTGGTTGCCATTAGTACATCGAGTCGCCTATGAGAAAAGCGCGATCTATGAAAGAGCGCTTGCGCTTTTCAAAATGACTTGGTGCACGGCGTTCATGGGCTTTCCAGTGGAGACTTGATGAAAGCTCCACTGTCCTTTCGTTCACAACTCGAGTTCCACTGCGACGAGACGAAATGCGACCGTGGTATCTATCCGCGGAGTACTTCTTCAAGAAAGTTAAACGGCTACGAGACTATAAGGACGTTTAACAAGAAGATATAGAGAGAAAAGACGAAGAAAAACTTCGTCGTGGTATGTCCTGGTGCGCGATATATATGTTGTAATCGAAATTCTGGAACGACGTGCGACAATTTTCGGGAGCTAGAAACAGATTTCGGAGATCCACGTGTTTTTCTCTGCTGTTAGCTATTTGTCTATTTCTGCGTGTACGAGCATTTTGTTTTTGATTGATCGATAACCCGTGAATTAGGTCGTTCACGAGTCGTGCCCTGAATAGTGGAAACGCATAGAATTCGTGAAAAAAAGGTGGAAAAGAAATTTAAAAATTGGTGTTCGAAAACGAGCATCAGCCGACGTGTTCGACAATATTATATATTTTGAGCAACGTCGACGTATATAATGAAATTGCAGCTGCTCGTAATCGAAACGGATTACTGCTGGAGGAAAGCGTTGCTTAGGTAAGCGAGTAAACGCGGATTTTCAATCAAGCTGCTTATGCTTTTAGCACAAATGTTAAGCTTGTTTAACGATGTAACGTTTAAATATCAATATCTTACGGTGTTAGATAATTATGTCACGTTGTATTACGATATGACAAAAACACTTAAAGTTAAAGTCAAAGTCAATAATAAGAGATATGATTGAAACAGATTTTAAATATCATTAATATTTTAATATAATAATTGTGGAATTAGAATAGATTGTTGCTAATCACTTAATTGTTAATATTTTTTAATATAATATCTCTTAAAGAATTTAATCTTCTATTTATTAAATATGTAATAATATATATTTTATATTTTTATAGACTTTAAGAATAAGTACCATTATACTTTTTGAATATTATTGTTTTAAAGTAGTTTTCTGACAACTAATTTTGTGACTAAATAAAAAATGAAGATTCTAACAAGAAATTTTTCAAATCATATTTGAATATACCGCTAATAGGGAAGTCGATAAAGTCAATGATTAACAACTGTCGGTAGTAAACTTCAATCGACTACGGAAATTGCCGCTATGTGAGTGTCGCTTTAGAGAATGCGATGGCTTGTATCAGAAGGAAAATGCGATGATTCAGAACGTTTCGGCTTTCTCGATTATTCCTTCTTGCTTTTGGCTTACATGGCCTTTTGGCTGACGCCATATTTAATTTTTTTTTTTGTTTGTAAGTGTCAATTTTCTAGAACTGCACGGTACACAGTGGATCCTATAAAAATGTTATAAGTGTAGACAGTGAGTGTAATGAACGAATATTATACGGCCGGTAATCTAAATTGAAATGATAGAGTGATCGCGATATGAGTTTGCGTCGTAGATCTAGTCTTCAACTGAAAGATTGTGAGCCAGAAAAGAGTCGTTAACCATCCGAGTGTCCATATAAAAGTCATTCTCTTGAATTCTTCCCCTTATTGTTGGTTAGTTTACGTGTTGTTTCATACATGTGTCTTTTACCTTTCTATTGCACTTACTCAGTGCGTGAACGCATTGTCCAATCCGAGGAAAGTTGAGTCCACGTTTGTTGGTTATGTTTTCTGTTACAACCGTTTGCCGTAAATCGCACGCTTTTCTAGCACGTTTCTCATAGTGAAAAAGAAAGTATAAAACAGCGAAAACATAAAATATAGTGTGTGTATACGTAGAAATAAAATGCACAAGTTAAGATTATCTGTCAAGGTTGAATTATCCAATGCTTTAACAAGGTATGGAGATATTTGATCTACAAGTATCGATACTATTATGTTTTGTCGTAAGCAGACGAATGTGTCTTGAAACCGTGTTTTCAGATTGTGAACGATCGTGTCATATTGATGAACAAATTGAAATTAATCATTATTATTAACCTATTCTAATGTAACGTTGGACAAGATTTTATTTCGGATACGCAATACTATTCTATTTATGTCTTTTGTGAGATTTAAAGTAATTAGGGTAATTGTCGCTTTAAAAATAAATACATGTAACATTGCCGTTATACAAAATTGTAATAGTCTGAGATGTACAAAATTTTTCAAGAACATTAGTATCGATACATTGTTGTTCAAGTTTAGTAATGTTTCGGAATATTAATAATAATGTTTGTTCATGTTCGTTGCTCTATCTAAATGCGCATATCGTGCAAATCTAAAATCATGCATGCTTTCCTAGTTGCTTTCGCCGAAGTAAGCATGAAATTGTTACGTATATGATAGGCTGCATTATAGCATTGAAGTTCAATGAATTCGACAACTTAATATATTTAGCTTGATTCATCTAGTATATTAACTTATCAAAACAACAATTTTATAGCGATAACTACATAATTTTCAGCCGTACATTCGTCATATATTCTCTTCAGAGGTGATACTTTTTTTCAAACAAATGCTGCTTATTTATTGAACTCATTACCAACTACTTCGATGTATAACAATTACTATTAAATAGCAATAGCAATAGTGAGAGTAATATATAAAAAATTTTTTGCGCTAATGTATGTTGTTTCTGATGAAAATAAAAAAGAAAGAAACAAAATATATGTACAAAAATTCAAATATACGCGAACTTCTACGCGTATTTATTTATAAAATAACACATACGACTATGACTGTAGATAATTTTAGTCAATCGTGAAGCGTTATTATCTTTCTGTAAAAGTAATAGTTATTGGATTAAAATTTTCTAACACTATCATAAAAAAATTTAAAGTTATGACAGTCAATTCAGGAATCTTAATTGGAATGAACCATAAAATTTATTTGGTTTACAATCATGGTAGAATAATGTAATTTACAATTCTAAAAAAACGAGTTTGAGAGTTCGCGAGCAAATGTTAATTCCATTATCACTATAGTTCAGTTCAACCTAAATATGCTTATATTTTCTTAAATAATTTATCTTTCATTTTGATTCTAAACTGAGTATATTAACTTAATTTTTGTATTATTGTATTGATAATATTAAAGAAATCTTTTTCCAGAAGCAACATTGGAAAGTTTGGAAAGCAACATTGCCAACATTGGAAAGTCATAAATTACATATAAAATCTTGTAAAATCTTCCTTAGAAGAATGATAGTCATATCTGGATTAAGCTAGTGCTTGTTCTTTTACTAATTGAGCAGCAATTGTCGAGATGCTCACGCCGCCATTCTTATGGAAAACAGCAGACCTTGACAGTCATAAAACCTAATGCAAGCTTCAGGGCCTTACCCGTCTCTATACTCTTCTACCATCCAGTTCCTCGTTTCTTGCGATACGTCGAACCTTTCCAGTAGTTTCTCTGCGGACTTCGCTAGTGAAACATTGTGCACGGTCTCTCATGTCTCGTAAGATCGTCCTAAACGCGATCCATAATCGCTTTGTTTTGTGTAAGTCGATTGACAATTGGAATAGTTCTACGAAAAATGTATTTCTAATTTCGGTGACAAAGAATTATAACTATTCAATCTTATATTTTTAAAAGAACGTCATATCATGTTATGTATGGCATATCATTTCAGTTACGATTTCTTGTAATTGAAAATAAGGTTAATAATTGTTTTCTATTTTGTTTGTATAGTTTTTTATAATAATCAATATCTAGAGTAAAATATTAAAAGATAATTTAAAAAAAAAAGTAGGATTCGAATTTCCGTTAGAGTCGAGATACATATGTGCGTGGTGCGTTCTTCGAAGTAAGTGATTGATCGTTTGTGGTCGTCCGTCGAAGTGCGACGAGGTAAAAGCGAGATCCCCCTGAACCACCTGTGTGTTCGAATGCGCGCGCGCGTATTGGTGATTCTCTGAGTACACGTGCACCTAAGAGCTTGACCAGGGAACAGTATGAACCATTCGACTCTCGACTGCTCGCCTAAATACATTACCACAGTGTATTTTTGGCATCCGTACTTCTCACGAAACTTTATACGACCAATCCTGATTAATATAGATCAAAGATCACACTGTAAAAAATATTCGTCATTCAAATCTTGATTTTTCGATGTGAGTGTAGCCTGCTGGGGATGATGTAGGTACGACTAATAGTGTAGTGTCCAAAACCGTTTTGTTGATATATATATATATATATATATATATATATATATCTCTTTGAGAATGAAGTTACTTGAGGCACCGTCGGTAACGTGAATCGTGCAGAAATCTTCGAACTTGGCCGAGTAACGTAGTCGCTGTTACGTGATTCGGGTAGTTTTTGATGTCGCACCTTTCACAAAGCCTTGGTACAGTCGATTCGGACTTCTTCACTCAAACTGTGTTACTGGACATTCGTCACTGAAATCATGACAATCTCAAGTTGATCTGTTCTTACTTGTGCAAGTGACAAATCAAGTTCTACTAATGGTGTGGATTTACATGAAAGATTACCATTAAACTTCACCGAAAAGTGCTTAGCCATCAAGTACGTAAGCTATTGTTAATAACATGTGTCAAAATCAAGTTCCCTTATGTTGCTGGAATAGTGTAAATGCAATTCGATATTTTAGATATTTCATACGCATATTTCCTTTTCTTTGTCGATTTCACGATGCATTCAACGAACATCAACCTATCTGTTGGCACTCCCTCAATGTTTACGCGTCAATGAAATTCCTGATCATATTCGAAACAATGGTTTATTTGATTTCCAAGAGTTTTGGTTTGCTCAAGAAATTAATCGTGGCCATATCGAACTGTATATAGGGATGATTACAGTATTGTTTTTAATAATATGATCACTGATCTTTCAGCCTAATCATGTTCCATAATAGCGTGCTTCTTTCCCTCTTGCTGATTTCAATCTCTGGTTCTAACCTTTTTGTTCTTTTCTCTTGTCTAATTATTAAACTCTGCTGACTGGTAGTATTTATGTTACACGTAAATATGAGACCAGCACAAATTGTCATATTGCTAGACATGTAATTAGATAGGGTTACTGCTGGACAGATTTCATTTCGTTTTCTTTTTTGTATCGATATTGATGCACCTGCAATATGTACATGTAACGAATTATCTCGATACATATTATTTCGAAATAACGTACTAACAGTGTTCCATGAATACGTCTTCTTTTCTACAGATATTTTCGCATCTAACGAAGAATGTTTATTCACCAATCGCTTACGTAGGATAGCAATTACTTTTTGCTTGTAGTTAGGCTTGTATGTACAGCAAGGTTTTGTGTGTTTGAAAAAATGATACAATGCGTTAAGTGTAATTTATTGGCAAGTAACGGAATGTTCTAGTCGTCCTATTGAAGTTGAAGCCAAAACAATGTCATTGACGATTAGAAATATATTTGATATAATTCAGTTGTGCAGTGTTACAATACGACGTATTCTTATATGTTTTTATAAATTGTGAGTCTATAAGAATTATAGAGAAAAATATTGTGAATTTCGTTCTTTGCTGACTTTTACGCCATAACTTCTTATTGCGTGTTTCAAAGTTTACCCGATAGAGTGCCAAGGTGAAACAAAGTTGATCTTCAGAGTCCAAAAAAAAATTATCGTTTGTTTTTTCAAAAATGTACAGTGTTGTTTACATAACTTACATCGTTGTTTCAATAACTTACAAATGTAAATATCGATCGTATATTTGTTGTGTTAATTAATAAGATTCACTTGGCTGTAAATTATTATTGATTCATTTGTCTGTTTACCAATTCACGAGACGCGTCCTATATGATTTTTGCATTTGTCAGAAAGTAATTTCTCGAACAATGCTACGTACTTCAAACCGCGCCTATAGAATGAAGTCGATATCATCTACAATATGTGGGAAATTGAAGAAAAGTTGGGATCACCGTTAATATACCATACAATGGCTCATGAAAACTTATAGACATATTTCACACATTCTTATAGACATATTTTCTAAATATATTATGTGCATAACATAAAATATTTAAAAATTTCACTGGCATTGTCCAGCCAAAAATTACCAACTATTATGATTATATTTTGAAATTTCTTTAGCGTTGTTCAGACAGAAACAAAATCATTATAATTATACTTGTCAAATTTAAAACAAAATAAATTTAATCTAAAAATGTACATATAGTTAGAAGGTACTTGGTACAAATAATCATATAAGTATTTATACAGTCAATTATTAATTAAATCTCAATCTTCATGCTGTACATTAAAATTTTTTTATTAAATATATATATTTGCAATAAACATCTTATAATTTTTACATATATTTTTAAATTGAATTTAAATTTTATCAATATTATAATGTTGTTATAATGTTATAATTTTATAATGTTTGTAATAAAATTTCAAAATGTTTGATGTGATATATCAATATATGCATAAAAGTTTGGTAAGCCATTGTATATATGAGATGCATATTGGTAAACAAATATTAGGATAATTTAACTACGGTTGAGGGAGTAATTCGCGTGTATAATGCGATTCAAACTTACAGTATGCATTATCGAGTTCTAAATTAGGAATTGTTGAACGGTAATAAACAGTAAGGCTAAATTCAATGTGACAGTGATAGCGTGATTAAAATATGATTTTCTGGACGTAGACTTTCGATCTATGTGATCCTTTGTTTCGATAACATAAGCACGCAATGTTTAATAGATTTAGCTATTTATAAATATATAAAATATTTGAAGTCATGTGTTCATAGGTATTTACTTATATAGCAGCTAAAAAAAAAAATATTTGCCTATCATTTTATTTATTATAGCATTTACATATTAATTATTTAGCACGTGTTTTGCATTATTTACTAATACTTTCGTATGACTATAGAAAGTAGATTTCTTTTTCTTTTAAATTTGGTGTTAAATTAAACATTGTATCGGTTTGTTGATTCGTTCGAGTTTACGATCGAAAATCTGTTGAATACATGAATTATTATAGGTGGAGCTGTGGATTAATATACTGGAAAAAAGGAAATGAGTCATAGACCAGGTGTGATGTATCTTTTATAATAAACACTGAGTTTTTGCATTTTACCAGAATCACTATCGCGATGTTATTGGATGCATTTTACGTTCGTCATATTTGCACTATTGGGTCTGGCAAATTCCTTTTTTTCTAAATTCATTACACCGCTGAGGAGAGTTTAACTATGATTAATGTAAACCTAAGAAGTTTTATTAACCGTTTAGGTAATTTTATATTACAATGATATTTTTTACATTATGAAAATAAATTAATTTAATCAATTTAATTTTCAGAGGACATTGAGATCATTAAGGAATATCATGAAATTTACTATTTCTTTCTCATTTTTGATCTGTTAGTTTAACAGTAGCAGGAAGATTAATGAATTTACTAATGTTTGTTCGACCATTATGGGATGTGAATCATAATTATCGCTGAAATTGAAGTGGTTCGTAATCTATTTTTAATTGTTTTTAATATTCTCTGAATCTTTCGAAACAAAACTAATAATAATAATATAAACTATTTATTACTTGCCCGTTTAATATATTTATTAGTAATTCATTTGAAACCTCAGAATTTTTTCAATGGTGTATTCAGAGTAGAGAATGAAATTTGAAGCAGTATTCCACAATGTTTCGTGTACGCCACTACATACACAATTATTTGAACAATTATGACGTCGCCAGACTGTTGCCACGGCTGTTTTGTGATTATACACGTTACAGGCTAACTTGGTAAATTGTTGCCTAATTTCTGGATTCTTCTTATTTAAGCCAGCTGCGTTTCCATCATTCTAGAATCAGCGATCTGAAAACGCGCAGCTGGATCAATACCTCTTATAGTATTTACGTTGTGTCTTATCGATTCTTGCTTACCTCACCAGTTGCATTTTTCGTGATTTCACACAATGTTACGCCGATATTTTTTGGATACATGGCAATAATAGTCCAGATAATAATTCAAAGCTCTTACACAACGCATAATCGCAACTTTTAATTGTATATAACTGGTGCACGATGGCACCCGCTTTAGATAACTTGCTTATGATATAATTTTAACATTGAATTAATATTTGCTACGATCTGTTTTTCTACTGTTTGCTCTTACATTGCTATTGATTTCAATTAATTTCACATATAGAAGGAATAAATATTGAGATATATGTAACATTTAAGTTGACAGTTTATCGATTATGTATATTTAGGATTTCTTTAGCAGCTTGTCTCATAAATATGCCTTTCTAGAATTAAATGAGGATGTAAATATCGGCGGGACGTCTTTGGTTATAAATGGATAGTTCTTATTTATTTTATCTTTTTAAATTTGTTGGATGTTCTTAGGAAATTATATATATATATGTTGATTATTTTCGATATATTTCGAAAATGTAAGCTAACTGTCTTGTGACAAACGATTTTTAATCGATTGTTATCGTACCAAGTGAAAGTTACTTGGCCTACTTTATTCAAAGATGTTTAATTTTGTTTACAAATTGTCAGAATTGCAGAATACATTCTTTAAATATATAATTCCAAAACCACCTGCTAGAATAACAAAAAATGGAAGAAATAGTAAAAGAACTCTTGTTCTATTTATGATTCAACGTACATTGCATTCTTGTTAGAACGATAGTAAAACATAATCATTTAGTCACACTATGGTGTCACAAAGATGGTTTTCAATCGGTCCATTGAGAAAACTTTGTCTAGTAATGAGTTAATTGTTTGTGGAAGAAGTCGGTTACTTGTATTTTATCGCGTTGGAAACGGCAACGATTATTCGCGAGAAGAATTGCGATAAATATTTGTAGGGGATACGTTCCTCTCTCCTTGGTCCTATAGCCAGGACCATTAAATACAATCTGAGAGACGCATATCTGGGACGCAGTACCGTTAGTCCCATAAAGCAATTGCCAAAATTGCTTTGTAGGACTGACCTTGCTAATAGTTGGGAAATGCCTTACCTTCCCGATCACGTGATCGGGAAATTTTTTGCTAAGTATTCGAGTTGATAAGTCCAATATATAGTTGAACGATATGGCTGCGTTGCGGATTATCGACGATTGAACCGTTAGTGTTGCAATGGCCTACGAAAATGTTACTTGTTACGGGTTTGAAGCTCTTAGGCTTTGGTGATTGAATAACGAGTGACCCGATCGTTGGACGATGCTGAATCGCTTGGTGCCGTTCAGCCTGCGCGATTGGGCTCGATCGAATCGTTCAACGAGCGGTCCACGTGCTCCAATTGCTTCGAAGGATGATGAACGTGATCGTGAAACGGCAGTTTAATGGAACGAATCAGATTAGTTTGTTTCGCCTCATGGATGTTCGTGAGAAAGCAGCTACGAAAAGAAGTGGAGGTTTGTCAGTTCACGAGGAAAATGAGGCGGTGCAATCAAAAAGTTATTCGACAAAGCGTGCAAATGACGTTTCGTTAGGTATAGAGCTCGATGTTAGAAGGTAATTAAAATCACTATGGAATCTATGATAATGCATGGAAATATCTTTCTGTCTTGTGTCAGTCTTACGTCTCAGTTACGTTGATATTTTGAAGAATTACTTCTTGTAAGATAAATTTGAGAATTTCAATGAAAAAATAACAAAAGTGCTTTATTCTATGAGCATATAGTTTAATACTACCATAGTGTTAGCGCAAAGAGTGTCGAATGTTCTAATTTTCTGAATTTTGATTTAGTTTACAATATTACATTATTTCCTGTTTGGCTACCTTGAACACTTCCGTTCTATGTTTACAAAATCAGGATTCAGAAGCATCATGAGAGGGTAATCGACTTTTAAACCTCCTCTGTTGTTGTTATCTGGAAACGATTAGCATCAACCGTCTTAACGATTTAACATTTTACTTCCTACAGCAGAGTAGTTAAACGGTTCATCTTTCAAATGTAATTGGTTGGATTGAACCGGCGCCTGATAATAAAGGCAGGCTCGCGGGCGACCGATTTAATTTTTCGGTACAATTTTCTTGTAACAGTTTTCATATCAAACCCTGATTCTCGAAGTCAGTTTAATTATCAAATTCACGTTTCGGTTGGACAAGTCTTCCGCAAATAACATTAAATTCACCACAGAATACCCAGTTTTAAATCGCATGACATTACATATAGTTTAAGTTTAATACTACCCAAAATTTTTTGAGATTAATTTACACAAATTTTCGCATCGAACCAAACAGAAGGAAATAAATTACAAACGATTATGATGTGGGCACTTTTGATTAAAATGGAGAAAAGAATAATAAAAGAAAAAGACGTGAGATAAAAATACACATGAGCATATCAAGTCATAAAAAACATGTGGTTTCTATCATGTTTTGAGTACTCGAAGAATTAAAGATTTTTGTCACTTGTATCATTTTTCTTCCGAGCTTTCGATTGTTTATTTTTATCGGCTGTTTCAATTGTTTTTATCTTCGGCACGAGAGTTTCATGACTTTTACTCCTCTGCATTTAATATCAGAATAAATTTTATTAACTTGTTGCTAAAGGATCTTTAATAGTGACTATATATTTCGGCCATCAAATCGATAGTTAATGATCAGTTACACAGTTTGAGCGGTTTAACGTTATTTCCGCGGGGTGATAAATATTTCACAAAGATTCGTTTGACAAAATAGTGGCAACTCAGCTCTTTGGGTTTCTATATTCAATAAAAGATCGCCAGAAATGCGAGTTTCCTCGGTAAAAATTGTTTCGTAAAGTATGGTTTCAATCTCAAGAATGTTCGTATTGATTCGAAATCGACTAACTGTTGTGGAAACAGACTAGAATGAAGTCTTGAGAATAATTGGCTTGAACCGGTTGGCTTTGTTCGGTTTTCCGGCGAAGGATTACTTGGCCTTTCGTCGAATATGCCAATTTTCTTTCGTAAGCATTATTTTGTAGTCGATCTGTTTGCAATATTCGAATGTGACGAGTTATTGTGATTAATCCATGAATCATAGAATTTTCAATAATCACAGGTAAATACACTGGATACAAGTGTGTTGACTGATCATAGATGAATTTCGGCTTTGATAATTAACCATATTGATTTATGAATTTTTATGTTTCAATTTTCTGTCTGATTTCAACAGAATATAGTTAGAAAAGTCTTAGGATTGAAATTTTCGATTCTCCTTTTTTAAATTTTCCGATAGATTAAATATATTTAGAATATTATCAACTGATATGGTATTTTTCTATCCCTTATTTTTCGTCTTGTCGATATTTCTAAAAATTCGTTGCCAAAAGCACAAATCGACAAATTGCAATCCCATATTCCTCGTAATAAATATATAAAACATATAAAATAAAAAGTGTGCTACTCTTATAATATAAAATATCTATTCTTCTCTCCTTAGTTTTATTATTCTTAATTAAATTTGTGAAAACATAAATTTACATAAAAATTCACGATCTACTTATAAGTACATATTTGTTCAAGAGAGTATTAAGTATGGCGTAATTTTAGGGCCACTTGCATCGACTGTTATACCAAAATATCTTCTTAAAAGCGGAGGTTAGGCCTGTTTAAAGTACCGCGTCTAAATGGATTAATAAAATTGTGTTTACTCGGACTGTGCTGAATCAACGCTTCTTCCATGTTGTCCGGCCGGTCGGCTGGCTGGTTTACTTCGATCTATTTTGCTCCTGCGATTTACTAAATGCAATCATACGAATTCATTGGCTGACAAGCTTAACCCTAATACGAACCGCATATCGTTCAGGGACTAGCTTGGGAAGCCTCCTATCGACGGACAATAATCTCTTTGTCGTTCACTCCGCTCATCGTTAATTATAACCACGCGTCATCGTGTTATTCGCGGACGCTACCGACCGAGCTGTTCTTCTCATCTCGAAGTGATTAATTCAATTACCACGAAAATTAATTGTTCTTTTCGTGCTAGCTGTTTCGAGTCTTCTTTTTCTTTTTTTTTCTTCACTTTGAGTTAGAAGATTGATAGTACAAGTCATCTTTTGGGAAAACTTGGACTGTTACAATTTTTCTGGCATTATTCAGATCTATTGAGATGTAGAATATAAGTGGAATTACATGTCTTTTTTTCTGATTTTAAATTAATTTACAGCTTTCTTAAATTTAGGTAATATAGTTTATATCATAACTCTTTGTTGAAGGAAAAATTCGTCTCAAAAAAATTAAAGTAGCAGTGCAACTGTAGAAACTTCAGGCACTTGTGTATGTTGTAGTTTGTACGCACACATATCTAATTGCGAGTGGTAACAAAATAATATTGGTTTTTGGCAATAGTTAACGTTTAATGACGTTATATTTCCGACGATTATTGTTTCCATATGGTCTGTTAGAACAAAAATATTCTTCTCTAAATATTAGCAATTCTTAATGCAACTTTTCAAAGTCGTTGATATAATTTATGAACACTTGGTCATTTTCACTGTCGTTTTTGAAATAAGATAGTTTGAAGATTGTGAAAGCTATAAATATATCGTATTTTTGGTATTCGTCATTTAAAAATTATGTGGGCCATTAGCGTGTAAGATTCTTTGAGGATTATACATATTATTACCATTTGACGTCATTTTAAAAGGTTCAAGATAATCATCTTCATTATTATAAAGATTGAAAGAGGTTTTACAATTTTCTTGCTTCACTTGTCTATTGAGGAGTTAACAGTAATATTACTCATGTGTACATCTGAATGAATCAGTCAACGGTAGTTAAATAGAATTAATCTATCATCTGTTAAATAGAATTGATGAAATTCAAAGGTATTAGATACCTTTTCTCGGAAGAAAATTTGTTAGATTATTTTTTTGTACAAAAGCTTAGTAACACTTCTGATGTGACGAATAACGACGCTTGCAATCGCCTGTTCGCGACAATGATAACCGATTGTGATTGTGTTATCGTTTCCAAGTGTCGTACGTAATGACTTTGAATGAAATAACGTGGCGGCGATAGCGCGAAATGTAAAGTTCCTCGGCCAAATTTGGTTAACGTTTTTACATTTTCGCTAGCCGATAAACACTGACTCGGCGTGTTATTAACGGGAACTAAATTTAAATACTTACGCGCGCGGTCAGAGAGTCGAAGGAATGTGCAGACACGGTGAATCTATAGCACCACAAAAAGTAAATCTCGCTCTCGAGATAATATAGGAAGAAATCGAAGAAGGATTTGATTTGATTTTTTTGTTCGGGAAACAGAAAGCCAAGGAAAATTTTCTGCGAGTTGCGCTTCGCGCGCCGGAAATAAATTAACTGTCGAAGGACAGAAGCGTCAGGAAATATCGGCGTGCAAGATGGGAACTGGGTCATTTATAATCCACGTATTTTGAATTACGCTCTGTGTGTATATGATTTTGAAGCGTCGAAAGTCAACTGTGCCAACTTTGCCATATCCGGTATATTTTGTTATATTTTGTTGGACGCCAGGCGGATATCTTTTTTTTTTCTTTTTTGACGTCTAAGATCTCTTCGTTGTAACCGGAATTGCACCGTGCATTGGTTTATAAACTGTGAGCCGTAAATCGTGGTGCAAGTGGGGTGAGGTAGATTCTATGGCTGAAAATAAAGCAAAAGTCAAAAATAACAGAATTGCACTGGATGCGTCTTTTTTTGGGAAAGAGAGCGTTTAAAAGTCAAGCTGGTACACATGTACCTGGTTGATTAAAAATTTGATTGTAAGTTACTATTCATCGTAAATTATTATTACTTGTATAGAATTTATTGTTTATCTGTTAATTATTTGTCCTTAAAATTTAGAGATGAATAATATTATTTTTTCAAATATGAGTGTAATTTATTGTATTTGAGATACAGTGTTCGTATCATAATTACATTAATAATCAACTTGATAGAAAATAAGCTTTAATATTATGCGGTATAAATAAATAGAGCAGTAATATTAATTTATCAGTCAGATATGCATCTAATTTTTTCTTTCTATTCATTTTTTTCAAAAATGAACTGTTATACCCCTAAGATTTACCAAGAAACTTTAAAGAATCGGGGTTTATTTTAATGAATTTTATCAGGTTTGTTGTGTATAAAACTTTGTATCTTAGCAAGTTTGCACTACAGGAGATTTCAATCTTTGGTATCGGTTTTAGTTCTGAATTTCTATTCCGATACTGACGGTTTATTCTCACGAACAGTTTTAAACAGAACATCCGTTCTAACTCTACTTATTCTACTCTAAAAGCCTTCAGCTCAATTTTGTAAATTCTTGATTTTATTTCTGTCCTCATATTTTGTATCATAAAATCTTGCTACAATAAAACTCAGAGAAAATTTATTTAAATAAAATGAGAATGAAAATATTATGTACTTTATATTTGCATAAAATATTTATAAAATATTCATATTCATAAATGAAAACATTATTATATTCAAAGTATGGAAAATGACAAGTGAACTCATCGTTTCCGGTTAAGGAAATTGATAAGAAATAGCTGCAGCGCCTTAAGCCGTTGTTTGCCAATAAGTTAAAATCGAGCACCGACTAGAATTTCGGAGTTGCATTGTATTTGTATTATGAATTATGGCTCACTTCGCCTATTGCCACAATAATCGGTTTTTCGACGTTAACGTGACGTATTTTCTACTGTTCGCGAGTCGCAGTAATTTATGCGAACGGTTGACGACGCAGGTAAAAAAATGACCCAGTTTCTTCTGGCGAGCGTCGATACAGGCATTCAAGCAGGAAGAAATCGAGGAGATCTCAGTCGAGCATCCTTGTCGGTGTTTTTAACTTTTCGATCGCTGGGAGCAATTCGAGCGAGAAGATAAAAAAAGAAGGAGAAGAAAAACGATCGGGATCGCTTTGAATCGGAACACCGACGCCCACGGTCGCGACGTGAAAATACATTGACGCATGCTTTTTCGCGTGTTGCTCGACCAAGAATATTTTCACGCTTAGTAACCGGTTGTTTCCGAGTGGCCTTCGCCACTCCGAGGCAAAAGAGAATGCAATAGCAACGAGCAAGGATAAGGATGTGACGATTAATCCCGCAAGATTCGATGTCGAGGTAGACTTGTTCGTTATTTAGTTCGATAAACGTAAATCTGGCTGGGTGTCTTTTAGAATTGAGGTTTTTCGGAAGTGAGTCACGTAGAAACTACAGTAATTAACAGACTAAAAAACTTTCGCGAAAGTATTTGAACACACATTGTAGAAAATCTTTGTATAGTGTGAAACGTCTATCATGATTGTAATAAAATTTGTAATCAATCTGTAAAAGTAGATAAAAGTTGCAAAGTGTTTATTCCAAACATTAATAAAAAGTTAGTATGAATATCGAAGCCTTTATAACTTTCTTGTAACTTCTATATACGTATTTCTGAATTTGTTTCAAAGTTTGTGAGCATGATAATTGTATCACGTTGTTTATTTAAATTATGGAGGACAGCAGTATTTGTTAAACAATCTATATTTCAAATTAATGACTTCAACTTCCCAATATTCATAGCTGTTCGAAAGTACTTGGAAAGAAAATCAAAAATTTCAAAGATAAAGTGGAGGGATTTCAATATTTATGTAGATTCGAGAATAGCCATTCAAGAAGTGATAAATGGAGTGGATCAGATTCGATAATTTCAGATTCAATAATTTTCCAGATTCCTATCTCTTCCGATGGAAAGCATTTAGGTGAATTAGAAGCAGGCAGCATTAGGCGAATCGTGGCGAATGTTACGAAAGGTTTCCTTGCGACGTGGTAATGCAACTCGTTGATAGAAGGCTGACTTTAGTTGAGTGAAAATGATGGATCAGTCTGGAACGACGGCGACGTCGTGAAGATCTCATTTGGACGCTTATATCGGGTCACGGAGGTTAAGTCCTAAGTTCCTCAACGACTGGCCCATAAAAGTCGGAGCATTGTTTCTGGAATTTTCCTTTCTTCTCTCTAGAGGACATTGACATAAGTTGCCCCTTTCATTAATTTTAACAATAAGTAATAAAGGAAGATTTTATCGATGTTGCAAACGAATAATCTGATAGAGTAATTCAATGAATTAATAAGATTGGAAGTGGCATTTGAACATTTACGAGACTTTAGTGATTCTCACAAGTCAGCAGGAAGTTACATAAACCTTGACCATTAGCTGCTTAGCTAGAATTTCCTACGTCGTACACATACGCCGAAAATTTACAAACTTCCATGATAATTCTGTTTACGTATCGTATTTTGACATTGACAATTTCTTGTTTTATCAAAGCGTCATGAACTACTGAGTTCCACGTCGTTCGACCAGCCGTCGAATTATCTGCGCAAGATTTATCGTTTTGTTCAGTGCGCAGAGCCGCCATATCCGCCTACAAGAAATCTCCTTATCGGTTGGTACCACCCACGGCTCAGCTTTTCTTCGTTCGTGTCGTTTTACGCCTCGTCGTAAACATTGAAAGTTCCTTCGAACGCAAAAAAGAAAGAAGAAAGAAAGGAATAGAATGATAAAAATAATCGGAATCGCTTTTTCAAACGCATTCGTGCGTTTTTGAGAGATAAATCAGTAATTAACTGGCGACTGGCATTAATTGCAGACGAACGAGATCTCCTGGCGTAGAGTTAATTAAACTCAAATTATCAGATAATTGTGCACTCTTCAAACAATTTCCGGATGAATTTACCTTGTCGAATGATTAAAGTTGGAAGTTATAAATCAACGTGACGCCTAAAGTCGATAGACGAGAGAAGTTAAATTGCCAGAGAAACTTGAACGTCCTTCCTATTTCGTTCATTCGTTCTTTCGCTTTGTAATACCTTATTTTTTTTATATACAGTGACTCACGAAATATTTGAGCAGCATATTATGTGTATTACATACAGAACGTTTTTGAAATTTCATTAATACTGGAACGAGATAGTAATGGAATTTGAAACAAATTTGGAAATGTATGTAAAGTTCCAAGATATTTAATGCTAATATATTGTCAAGAAATAAGTGTATAGTGTTACAAATGAGAGAAATATTAAGGCTTGCTATTACAATGTTAAATAATTTTGAGGTATATGTTTCCAAGAGATATCTTGTAACTTTTCTTATCCTCACATTTCATAAGTATCATCGTGATAATCTAATCTAACTGTATGACATTAAATTGTTTTAAAGTTTTCCAATGTAATACGATAGCCATATCATATTGTGCATTGTGCGAACGTGAATTGATATAATCACGTGTAATCTCGTGTACAAGGGAAGTTACTATGGGGAGCTGTTCAATTACTTTCGTGAGTCACTGCTACGATACAGTAACCGTTAACGTTTCCGTCCATCATTACCATCGCGATGTACTATCGACGGAATGTCTCTGCACTTTCTGCAAACTTCCTGTCCGGATATCTGGTCGGCCTCGCCCATCCCTGGTTTTCAAGCTCTGACACTGGTTCGGTCGCTTTTAAAGCGAGCTACGTCAACACACGTATCCTTAACACGATAACCTTTTGCTCGAGCAACCCGATGATAACTAAAAGTAGAACGTTGTAGTACCGGCTACATCGTTCAGCGTCAACGATCCGGTTAAACGCAGGCTGCTCGAACATTTTATCGAGCGATGCCGGCACAACAGCTTGCCCCGATTTTTGCTTTCAAAGAGCGATCCACGAATTTCCTTCGTCGGTGAAAAGATTTTCAAAGCTTTAGGAGACTGCGAGGGAGGATGTATAGTCGGAGAAAAGAAAAGGTTTGCCTATATTGTAGTTCCGATAGTTTTGACGATCGTTTCAGTGTTCAAGTTGTCTTATAAATAATTGTGGTTCATCTGCATTTAGATTGATCGTTTTTTGTATCGCCGTTAAATTGTTTAGCTATTGTTTTCGCAAACTGCACTTCTGCATTAGAAAATCTCAAGCGGAGTTTCGATTCCTTGAAAGATTCTTTGGAAGATAAAAAAAAACAATAACATAACCGATAAGTACAATCGCTCTTTTCCAGATAAGTTTCTCGTTCGAAGCTGCTCGATTTTGTTGAACAAACGTGACAAGATTTTCTGAGGGAATTGGTATAGTATTGCGATCTCGAAATAGTTTTACGATTAAGAGCATTAAATTGAAAAAAGAAAGATCTCATTCTCGTCTCACCGTGAACGTTCTGGAACAACTATCTTAAGAATACGTATTTGATGGTATCAATTTGATTTACTCATCAATTTACTCACCCAATCGTTAATCATCTTATGTAACGTAACATTTGTCGATGAGAAAATTCCACACTATCGTTTGCTGTAATTAGATATATTCTAATTTTAGAAACTGATTTGAAATATGATATCAAATCAGAAAAGAAAAAGGCCTTGTTATTTCTATCAAGCTGTGCTAGCTTCCTTCGTTGGTGAACAATTAAAAAAAAAAATGATCGGATTCTCGTGGAATCCCTCGGTTCTTCGCGGGAAAACTTTAAGTTGACACGTGGAACAGCGAGTAATTGCAATGATGTTACGTCTTCTGTTCGCAGGATGGTATTGGACCCCAAGGTCACGAGTCTGCATAGTGATTACGGAAGCTTCGATCGACCATTGGGCGCCGGAGAGGGCCACGAGAGAGACGTCGAAGCGGCGGTTGATGGAAGTAGCAACGGGATGGCACAGTCGAGCGACGTTTACCAACGGCAGCCGTTATTACCTGGTGCACCAACCAAGGGCAAGGATAAATGGGCTGGGGTGGCATCCGGCTCCGACTATTATGTAGACGACGAGGATGAGAAGATAGACAGTCTTCGTCGGCATCCTGGTATCCCAAATGGCTCTGGGAACGGTGTCGTTAAGCTCGACATACCTGCGCCTCTTCGAGAAGAGCCTCGTTTTCCTAAAGAGAAGTGGAAAACCTTTCTTGGTAAGGATAAAGCTCCAGGACCTTTCCTCTATTTTCTATTTACACAGTCTGTTATGCGTATCGAACATGTGTCTTGAAATATAATATCCTTTCGAGAGAGAAGGTCGCTCTTCTTCGGGAATATTGTTCACAATGGTCCCAGATGTGTCGAGATTCTTCGTAACGACCAACAAGAAAAGAACTACGTCGAGAAGACTTGTTAACTTGGAAGATGGAATTTGGAAAGCTCATGATTTTCATGGCCGGTATGAAACTGCAAGAGTTTTTTTTTCTACGGAATTGTGCGAGGAAAAAGCCGTCGTTGTACTGCGGATCAACGTTCGATCTTGCGATATCTGCCTCTTTTGATTAGATATCTATTGCAGGACTGATAAGAATTTTCAAATAAGATACAGTGGCGTGATGAGTTACGTAAAAAGGAGGACAAAGAAAAACATTTCCTGTAAACTTCGACGGCAATGAATTTTGTTTAGGATTAAGCTTTTCTCACGTGTACTATGCTTCATTCAAGCCACGGGTGTTCATCGAGATCGAGATTGAGGTCGCTACGTGGTCGATACAGATCTACTCAGGTTGATTTCATAGTCATGCTCGATCATGCGTTCTGGAGTGATGAATCCGAAACGGAGTCATCGGCACTGACTACCGTCTGTGTCCGTTAGATTTGTTCTGTTTTTGTACTAGACAACCGTGACAAGATTCTCCAACCGTTTCTTGTGTCATTGGTGACAAGAACATGTGTTTTGTCTCATCCGTTATTAACATTAATTTATTTAATCTACCTTTATTTTTTACAAGATAAGAGACAAATATATTAAACTATTTCGTTTAAAATATTTCAAGTTTTTATGTAGAATTAAACAAGCTTTGCTTATTTCAAAAAAGATACATGCTATATATACTTGGAAAAAGTGTGTTTAATTTGAATAATGGTCATTAGAATGGACGTCATTGATGTATCACCTATTATATATATTAATGAATGACGCAGATCCATTTCTCTTCATTGTCGTTTTCTGACATTGCTGAGAGACTAAACGGTAGGCTGTTTCACGAATGTTTGCGGATATAGAAACGGTTTGAGGATGGACTTTTGAGAAGCTTTTTCCTTGTTGGTAGAAAGCCAGAGCAGCAGCTGAATTTTGGCATTGTGCCATTTTCTGCGGGTGTGTATTACCGTGGTACCAGGTTTCGCGTCGCAATTTTTGATTAATATACACCGTGTACCACGACATGTGGTCTTTGAAGTAATTAGTGATTTCTTATGATAGAAGATTTGTTAAGAAAAAATTTGTTTGTTTTCTTCGTGATAAATTAAAATGATGAATTCAACAATTTGGTATGAGATACTTTTAATAATATTAAATTTAATTTCAACGTATAGAAATTTTTCATCTGGTTTTATAAAAGAGTATTACACTCTCTTGTGATAAAATAAAATGATAAGCTAAATAATCCTTAAAGAGTAATAAAGATTATTTTATTATTCTAAAAAGAAAAGTATAAAGAGTAATTTTAATGATATATAAAATATAAAATGTTTAACATTATTCGGAGACTTTCCATGATGACAGAGATCATTTTCTCTCCTCAAAATTAATTTTGAAATTATTTTTAAGAAAAAGGAAATGTATAAATTTTGCAAATTTTTGATACACCCAGTATATGGTGTACACTGCTAGGTATTCCTTTACTTTTGAAGCAAAATTATTGTTGTCTGCTGTATTAAAGCAGAAAAGAGTATTCTTTAGGAAAGCGGCAGGCAGAGAGAGAGTTGTCGGTTAGAAATTTCGGGACAAAGGAAGCATAGCCGCGCAAAGTGGAGTAGCTATACGTTCACCGACAGAGAAAAAGATAAAGTGCAGCACGATGACTGTTATTTCTGCGTTTTATAGTGTACGCGCGATATTTGAGTAAGTGCGGTAACCCGCATGCTTGAATCACTAGTTTATTTTCAACATTAATGTATGTACATATATACATATGTTGACTACCATTGTTTGGAACTAAACGATATATTATATGACTACCTGGAATTTTATTGCGTCAGTGATTGAATTGGCACGATCGATTGCTGATAGAAAGAAGAAGAAATATGCAGTTAATGCACTATTGTAGATCATAAAACTGTTTTTATGATCAGTGATATTATTTTTATATTTTCTTAAATGAATTCGATTCGTTATTTAGAAACTTTTGTTCTAATGAAAATGTAATTCATGTTACAGCATTTCTGTTCATGGTCGTGAACTTCATATTGACCACTGCGTCCCTTGCAATGGTGCACGAACGGGTTCCTGATCGAAATACATACGGACCGCTCCCGGATGTAGTGTTGGACAATGTTGCCGCCCAGGATTGGGCCCTTAACGTGTCGGAAGTCTTAATTATGATAATGTCCAACTCAGCAATGGTTTTTATTATTTTTCATAAGCATAGGTGTGTACTGTACACGAACGTCGGTAAAATCGTTACGTGTAAATTGGTACTTTTGCTTGACAGGCTTGGCTCAGAAGTAGAACACAAGTAACTTTAGTATTAATATACTGTAATAGTTTCAAGACCCCTTTTAGTTCTATTTCAAATTTTAAAGGTGTATTTTCTTAATATTAAGTTGAACAAAAAGTTAAAAATTTTCGAACTTTTAGATATTATTTATAGGAATACGGTGTTTTTATTTTACAAAATTTTACGTTGATTCTTCTAGGTTTATTGTTGTTAGGAGAATATTTCTTTTAATGGGACTGCTGTATATGATGAGGAGTATCACAATGTACGTGACGGTACTGCCTGTTGCCAGCAAAACGTATTTCTGCAGCCCTAAAGCAAACAACACTAGTCCCCTCCTCGTTACGAAAAGGGTTTTGCAGCTCATTTCAGGCTTCGGCTTGTCTATAAACGGCAAGCACACTTATTGTGGGGATTACATTTACAGCGGCCATACAGTCGTGCTTGTACTTAGTTATTTGATTATAAAGGAGTGTAAGTATTTTTTTCATGATGTAGAGACGTGTATGTTTTGTTAAAATGTGCTCAGTATTTATTTGGTCAATGTTAATATATGGTCAAATATTAAATATTTAACAAAAGGGAATATTTCAGATTCTCCAAAAAGATTTCAACCTATTCATTGGCTTGCGGGAATTGCTGTTCTTACTGGGGTAATTATGGTCTTGGTAGCTCACGGACATTATACCGTGGATGTTCTCATAGCATACTACGTAACTACACGCTTGTGGTACATTTATCATACCTTAGCTAATAATTCGCATCTTAAGGTAAGTTGTATTTTTTTGTTAGATATCTCTACGTTCATTATTTGACTTTATATTGTAAAAGATAAAGATAAAGAAAAGAAAGGAACAAAGATAATGTATTTTGAAAATTGAAGAACATATTCAAATGTATTTGCAGCAATACGAACCAAACAACTTTTTGGCCCGACTCTGGTGGTTCCCTATCTTTAAATATTTCGAGAAAAATGTGGGCGGCACGGTGCCACGACAATACGACTGGCCTTTACCCTGGCCTCGACGATTCCTTGCCAAGCATCCTAATCGGGACAGTTAATGTCTGTCTTTGATTTCATGATAGAGGCTGTCAAACAACGGAGTTACTTTGTTATAATTTGTGTATGTATATAAACATATATGTATACGTATCTAGACATACAAAAATGTGAAGATATATTAGAAAGTGGTGCGAAAGATATGTGTAAGTTTCGTCTTTGTCCACGAGTTACATTCGACCTTTTGTGATTTGACGAAAACTTGCGGTGTTCATTTCTTCAAAGATAAAGTCGACAACAACAAAGAAAAAAAACTGTAAAATATGAACGATAGTGAAAACAAATGCTTGTACTGTCATGTTCGTTATCGTCCAATCGCGAGATCTATTTTGTTTTTGACTTTGATACGACTTATATATACATTGTAAGAGGCTAGATAAACGATAGATGAAAATATTTAGTCTCATGATGATTCATGTAGAGAGGGAGATATTCGAGAGTTACCAACAAATTAGTGTATAAAATAAAATGCTAGATATCTCTATTTTCAGATACTCCGATGTGAAATACTTAGATGTAAAAGAAAAGAAAGAGGAAGGAAGAAAGACCTTACGCTACCGCTATAATTTGGTCAAGCGTGATAAATGTGAAACTGTCTTGTTGAACGTAACATTAACAAGCAAGAGGTGAATTTTTTTTATAAACAACGACACATTGGAAAAATTAAAAAAAAAAGAAAGCAAACATTACTTGAATAAAAAAACAAAGAAAAAAATTTAAAAAAAAAACGGAAATTTCGTTTGCCGCGAGACCTTCCTCTGAATAATCCGTTCGGAACGCATTCTAATCTTTCGATTTCCTAACAATCAAGACGATGTTCTTTATATTTACATTATATGGCGGCATGCCTTATTCCGATGAAAGTTAATTGAATGAATCGCAATTTTCGAACTTGTTAATCGGTCAATTATAGTTCGTTTTCTATATTCAAGTTTCGTGTCGTAGAACTTTCCCTCGAAATTGAAACTTCTTTTTAAAAGAGTATTTTTCTTATTGCAGAAATAGTTAGTGAATGATTGGTATAGTTTTAAAATTTAACTAATGATTGTGCAATTTCGTGGGACCAAATATAAGGAGATTAGTCGGAAAACAATACTTTTCGAGTAGCGGTTGAGAACATAATTTTTTTCGTGGTGACAATAGAAGGCATAACTGGAATAGGGATTTAGTTTTCGAACGTTCTTGCGCTATTTTCTAAGCTATGATTTTTCACGTCTTAATCGACGCGTTGGCATCGCAATGTGTTCCCGTTCGAGATCGATGAAATTTCTTGTCTATGATCAATGCGATTAAAGTCGAGCGTTATTGCGTGTACATATCAATGAAATTCATAATTTCTCGGAATAAGGTCGTCTTTACAGTCTACACACACCAGATGTTGTCACGCATACGTGAAGATATGAAGATGTTGAATCGTGAAAAGAAAATTCGTGTTGTCGCTGATGAAGCCTCAATAACAAGGAATGCAACAAAATGAAATCTAACAAAGATGATCATTCTTTGTACGATTTCATTCTGTTTCCCATCTTCTACTGTTTCATAAACTCTCAATAATAATTCCTCACGATTCTTGCCCTGCTCTATTTGTCGGAGCATTCTTCAGTTTTATCGTTGTTTTTCTTCGGTATAGATAGCACAAAAACGCTTAGAATTTTTACTAAGCCATGCAAAGGAAGTATGTTTTAGTGAATCTTAATTACTTGTATAAGGGGTGAAAAAATACTTGAATGGGAGATGAGTGATCTGAAATTATTCTTCGTTGCGATTGAAAGCGTTCAACCTGCGAAATCTATAAATAGTTTTAAGTAATATTGCCGGCGATTTGTTGTCTTCTGCACACACGATTTATTGTTAATGTCCGTGCAAAGTTCTCGTTATCTGTTGTCTGAATTGTCTACGTTCGAGTAACGCACGTTCATATTTCAACGTGGATACGAACAATCACACGTATGGCCGACGATCTTGTTTCTTCTAAAATTCTTTTTCTGTTTTAACGCGCGCGCGGTCGAACGAATCTGATGGTCGATCGATGAGAAGAAGAATAAAAGAAAGAAAAGAGACACTTGCGACAGAATAAAAAAAGAATAGTCATAGTGGGATGAATTGAATAGAATTTATTGGCCCTTATTGCGTGTAATTAAGTCTTTTTCTGTCTGTGATGATAAACGAAAAAAAAAAAGACATGAGTTGTCGTTACGCGAGTTCTCGATCGTGGAACGAGGCATATTCGTGAAGCGATTCGCATAACGCGTGCCCATTGCGGTCATTGATATTTCTTCTTAACCCTCTATAGTCCACATTCCTAATTTAAATTAAACTTAACAAATCTTCCGGTTCTCTAAGTCGTTTTAATTAACGAATTTGGTGCTTCTTAAAATTATAGCTAAAGAACTGATGATGATACACAATGGACTGTAGGGGATTAGAACGCTCGTATAGATGCGTCTCTCGAATATACATATATATTTTAATAAAATTAAATGTGGTTCGTAGTAATATTTTTAAGTGACGCAACAATTTCGACGATGTTATTAAAGATGAAAAACAACAGCAAACAAAAAAAGAATAAAAAAAGAAAAAAGATAGAAATTATTTAGACATACATATATATATATTTTTGAACGTGTGCATAGGTATACATTGATCATCGCATATGCGAACTATGCCCGTCACATCTATATATGTTTGCTATGTATCTCGTCGTTGTTCTTTTTTGGGCGGACATGCTTGAACCAATGTATAGATAATACGTGGATGAAGCTTGCGTAGATCGGAAATACTACGAATTTGTAAAATTATTTGGTAAAAGTAATGTCGGTCCAAGTTAGAGCAGTAGAGTCACGATCTGCCAGAAAGATATTAATAAGTGCAACCGAATTAGCCAAAAAGAAAAAAAAAAAACTAAACGAGCCATCGAATGTATTACGTATGCACGTTATAATGTGCTCCATGATGCACATGTTCGTAGATGCGTTTATATGTATGCAAACTCGCGTGAAGAGCTGTATGATGTTACACGCACACATGACGAATGGAAAAATGTAAGAAGAAAAACAAAAAAATGATACAACTACAAATATATTCTTCCTACGTGAATGGAAGGGAGTTGGGATAGTTACAGAAAAAAATTTAAATTGTCGTATCGAAAGGAAGAAAAATAGAAGAGAAAGCAAAAATAAAAAAAGATAAAAATATAACAAAAGCATGATATATGCATGTATGTGTGCGCGCGCGAGCGACATACTATGTATGTGTTTATATATGTATATACATACATGCATACATACATACATATTAATATGTGTATATATATATATACATACACATCTATATTTTTACTGTGTAGATATTTTTTGGTAACTTGTTACAATAATCCTATTAGATCAGTTAAGCGTATACATATTATATATATACACACACACACACACACACATATATATATATTTATATATATATATGTTGTAAATATAAAAAAAAATAGCTGAAGAGAGAAGAAAGAAAGCTTTTGCCAATAAATTGCGATCTATTTCGATCGAAACTAAAACAAATCAAAATAATACTTTCGTTCATCGTTTAACAGAAATATTTCTGATGACGATTAAATTGTAAGCTTTGATGACTCGCGAATTTATTCGTGTTTTTTTCTCTGTCTCTGTGCCTGTCGATACGAACATATTCTATCCGCAATTAATCAACGATTATGGCTGACATGCGCGTACAATTTTGGTTTCCATTCTTAATGATCCATAGGTCATATGTATATAAGAAAAAAAAAATATATAAATATTATTACTATTATTATAATTATTATTAATTTTATTATTATTATTATTATTATTATTATTATTATTATTATTATTATTATTATTATTATTATTATTATTAAGTCTTCAAGATAGTTTAATGTGAAGAACTCGAGATTACTACGTCGATACATGAATCCACGTAACAATAAAGCAAGTTGTATTCGATTTTACTTTATATTCTATATTCTATATTTATAATATTTATTACGGTTTTTCATATGTTGATGTAATAAAGTTTAGGTATATACTTTGCAATAGTCACTTTCTTGCATTAATGACCTATATGAATTTAGTTTTTATCAGAAAATAAATTTACCTCGTATTTTTCTAATGAATCTTTCTTAGATTATATCCTCCTATCGTTTCAGTAAAAGAATTCATTAACATATTTCATTTGAAACTCTGTTATTTATTCTAGTTCCTCAATTTGTATATAAATACGATTAAATCTTAAATATTTCTCTATTTTGTGCGTATTATGTGCCTATTATTAGAAAGAAGCGTAAAGACTTACATGTTTTTCATGCAAGTTAATGTAAATATAGTACATTGTACTCTTTTATAATGAGGAAAGTATTATCAAGATTAAATGATTAAGATTTAAAAATAAATACCTTTAAATGAAACAAATTCAGGATTTCTTAAAGTGGAGATTTCACTTTCTAAAAAAAAGTTCTTAATTGTTCTACAATTTTTTTCATGAAATTATGAGTTTAAAGTATTGATAATTTTTTATCTAGTGTATGAATATTTTCGTTCTTTTTTATGTATTTTGTGTATTTGATTTAGACCAGAGTTTTTTTATTTTTTATTTCAAATTATTTCGTGTGAAACGCGCGATTACAGCGCCCCGACGGTGAAGTATACAATACATTTATGATTTTTGAACACAATCGATATTTTTCACGATCGATTTTTAAACGGGAATCATGGCGGAAGAAAGCATTCCTCGTCTGTAAAGGAGAAAGTGTTATTCAGAAAAATTATCCAGAAAGAAGAATTATCCAGAAGTTCTCAAGTAAAAATTTATCAATATTTGTTAGATTTATGTTTGTGTTTTGAATTTTTAAAATAAAACGTACATTTTTGGCAACTCAAGGTAAAATTTAACCAAATAATTATTACCAAATAATAATTATTACATATAATTCAATTAATTACAATTAATGAAATAATAGCATAGAAACGTTTAAATAATTATTCTAAAATATATTCTAGAATATATTATTCTAAAAGTTATGTAAAATTTTATACCAAAATTTTATTTCAATTCTATATAAATAATAATAAATAATAATTTTGCTATATAATATAATAAAATTTTTCAAGTCTCAGTTTAAGATATCGATAATTTTTCATTAGGTGTGTGAATATTTTTGTTCTTTTTTAAGAATGTCTCATCAATTTTGTGTATTTAATTGACTAATTTTTTTGTTTTTTATTCTAAGTGGTCATTTCGTGTGAAATGAACGATTACAGCGCCCCAACGGAGAAATACGTAACGTACTTCCTACGATTCTCGAAATAATCGATATTTTTCACGATCGATTTTTAAATGGGAATCATGGCGGAAGAAAGCATTCCTCGTCTGTAAAGGAGAAAGTGTTATTCAGAAAAATTATCCAGAAAGAAGAATATCCAGAAGTTCTCAAGTAAAAATTTATCAATATTTGTTAGATTTATGTTTGTGTTTTGCATTTTTAAGATGAAAGGTGCATTTTTGATTCGAACTCAAGGTAAGATTTAACCAAATAATTATTACATATAATTCTCAACAATTAATGAAATAATAGCATAGAAATGTTTAAATAGAATATATTATGCTAAAGGTTATGTATAATTTTATACCAAAATTTTATTTCAATTCTATATAAATAATAATAAATAATAATTTTGCTATATAATATAATAAAATTTTTCAAGTCTCAGTTTAAGATATCGACAATTTTTCATTAGGTGTGTGAATATTTTTGTTCTTTTTTAAGAATGTCTCATCAATTTTGTGTATTTAATTGACTAATTTTTTTATTTTTTATTCTAAGTCGTCATTCCGTGCGAAATGAACGATTACAGCGCCCCAGCGGCGAAATACGTAACGTACTTCCTACGATTCTCGAAATAATCGATATTTTTCACCATCGATTTTTAAACGGGAATCATGGCGGAAGAAAGCATTCCTCGTCTGTAAAGAAGAAAGTGTTACCCAGAAAAATTATTCAGAAAGAAGTATCTACTAGAAGTTCTCAGGTAAAAATTTATCAATAGTTGGTAGATTTATGTTTGTGTTTTGTATTTTTAAGATGAAAAGTGCATTTTTGACTCGAACTCAAGTTTGGTTAAGATTTAACCAAATAATTATTACATATAATCTTCAACAATTAAAGAAATAATAGCATATAAACGTTTACATAGAATATACTATGCTAAAAGTTATTTATAATTTTATATCAAAATTTAATTTCAATTCTAACCAGTTCAAATATTGTAACCTTGTAATTGAGTAACTTATTGTTACATATATGTATATATGTGTATATATATTTGTAAAGATTAGAATTGAAATTAAGTTTTGGTATAAAATTAAATACAGTAAAATTATTTTAACCATTAAATATGCATTCTTAATAAATTGTTGTTGAATTTAATGTAAAAATTGTTAAGAATTACGCAATATGAAATTAAAGAATCAACAAATAAGTAGAAAATGTTATAATAAAAGTGTGTATAAAGACATGTAATAAAATACATGTATATGTGTGTGTATATATATATATATATATATATACATATTATTTTATTATAACATTATTTATTATAACATTTTCTACTTATTTGTTGATTCTTTAATTGCATATTGCGTAATTCTTAACAATTCTTATATTAAATTCAACAATAATTTATTAAAAATGTACGTATTTAATAGTTAAAATAATAATTTTACTGCATAATATAATAGTTTTCATTTATCAAATAAAACAAGGCGTACAAGGCCTTGAAGCTCGAAATCCGCGTTCAAAACAAAATAAACATAACGCTGTCTGTACAAGGCTCTTAATGTTGCTTGTTTATTCGCGTGACTTCTTATTACTACTGTCGACACAAGTCGAGACAAGTCATTCAGCTACTGAATTTCGAGGCAATAACACGTATTACGTCGCATTAGATTCGTAATATTTTCTAACCTATCGGTAGCGTCTCTTCGATGGCGTCGCTTCTCCGACGCTCTTTTACTTCCATTTATACCTCATTAATAGTATCATTTAATTAACACGGGTATGTTTGATGATTCATTGAGCATTAAGATAATAAAATCGAGTAAGATTCTGAAATTTTTCGTGTTGATTTTTCTTCGATCATTGATTTTACTCTTATGATTACCGGTACATTGTCTCGTACGCTTTTTTGATAGAATTTGAAGTTGATTATCGTTTCATTTTTACATATTTGTCTCCATTTGACATATTTGTTCTAACTTTTTGTTTCTTTTTATGCAGGTTATTCCTTGGTTGCAAAGATAGCATAGAACGCATAGACGTCACAATCATTAATAGACAATCTGATGAACTTTCATGGAAAGTTGGTAACATTTTATTCATTCTAGATAACATTTGCTATATAATTTCTATATATTTGAAGTACAATTCACAATACATAATTTCTTAATTATATAAAATAGAAAAAGGATGAAAATGGAAAAGATTAAATCAATTAATATTTTATTTTTCGAGTATAGAGATTGTAATATGTCGTAATAGTATATGCTTTCAAATGGATATATATTCTTGTATTATTAAATTCAAAATTTTCGTACTTTACTATATTGTACTGTGCTATAATATATTTTTTCCGAACGCTGACACGCAACTAAATGATTCAGAGCAAGATTTTGCACGTGTATGATTTTTTAAATACATTTAGCCATGAAATTTTGATTTGTGCAAACATTTTCGAATATTTATAACGACGTTACATATTACTGTGCATACTTCACTTTAATAATGAACATTCAGAATACAATTTCTACAAATATTGAGAAATATTTTGTAATTTCCAACTAATGCATACTCAATATCTTTAATGCATACTCAAGTTTATAATCATTTTCTAAAAAAATAGCAATATTTTCTAAATGAACGTACTCTATTTTCAGAAAATTTTTGTAACCGCGCGCAATGCGGTCGGTAGAATCAGTGTTTGTTGCGCAATATTTTAATATTTTTTTGAGCAAAATGGCTCTAATTAAATTAGATTATTAATTCATTTAAATTATAATTCGCGAAGTTAGAGTCAGTGAGTCCGCCGATTGTTATTTAAATGCGCGCGTTGATAGTCTTTTATTTTTCTTTTTTTATATTTTTTTTTTATTCAACATTCGGTTTCGATATATTAGTGTCAGTGGTCAAGAGGATAAGGCCTCTCCAGGAGATCAAGATCGTAAGTAATTTCATATATTATACTTCAATTCGCTCATTTTTCAAATTTGACAACAAAGTATAATGTTTGACGTTTTGTTACAGACGCTTCACAATATCAACTTTTTGATATATTTTGGGGAAAATCTAACGGTGGCTCCAGAGCCAAGAATGTAAGAATCTTTCATTATCTCTTAAGAACTTAAAATTCTGCTTTGCTTTTAAATATAAATTCTAATATTTTATGTTTTGTTACAGATTCTCTACAATCTTCAATTCCCCTTATCCTCTAAGAATCTTACGATGCTTCAAAAGTTAAGAATGTAAGTACTTTAGCACACTGTACTTGAATTAATTCTATTTTCTATAGTTCTCTTTCCATTGAAGCCTAATGTAAAATTATAACTATAAAATAAAAAAGGTTTCAAATTATTAGAATCCCAATTTTTTATCATTATTAAAATTTGAATTTTCACAAATAACACTGTGTCTTTATATTTTTTAAGAAATTTTTCACGGCGTTCACTTCCACTGGATGGGATTCTCAGTAATATCTACTTGATGCGGGCCTTCATGATAACTTTCTCTGCTCCAGTGCATCTGTAATAACGTTCTTCACATCTATCCTGTGAGTCGCATGCATTTATGTTCCCTCCGGTCACTCAACCATGTCGTAGGATGAAAGGTCCGAATCGGCACGAGTGATTGGTTGTATACGTAGAATTTTTGATGAGCATAGTGACTACGGATATTTTTTATATCCGTGAGTAGTAACATCTTTTTCAGGTTTTTTATGTATTAGATCAGGATAGGGCTTCTTGCACATCGCGATTTTAACAGTTAGTTTGAATATATACAGTTATAGTAATTATTTGTAAAATCAAAATATATTCAGTATAAATGTTTGCAAAAGCAAAATATCCATATGAGCAGATAAATTATAAATAATTGTTATTAAAATGATTTCGTTTGAGCATTTTGTAGTAGAGAAGACGGATACCCTCCGACTTCATTGCTATGAAAGATGCAATTATTATTTATTTATACTGGTGATAGTTTTGTTATAATAATTAATAATTTCGAACTTCATCTTCCTTTTTATACCAGTATTAAATGATTTAATTAACTAATTTTTATAAATTTCAATACAATACAATTGAAATATATAATATATCTAATAAAAAATATATATAATGTACAATATATTCAAAACAATTTGAAATATGTAATAGATTGAAATTCATTCCGTAGAAAAATATGTGAAATTTTATGTGCAAGAAGATACTTCGCGACAGGCAGATTTTTGAATCAAGGCAACAAGTTTGAACACTGCTTTCGCATTTTTGAGAATGTGCTTTGATAAAGAAATAGCCTGAAATTGTTTTTATTAATATTTAATTTAGAGTTAATTGTTTAATTTTGATTGTTTTTTAGTCAATTGTTAAATTTCATATCTTTTTTAATAAATACAATTCTTTGCCTTTATTCTCTTGCAATTTCAACAATTTCTGAAAGAGTAGAGTCATTACAATTTGAAATAAAATAATGCAACAGTCCATTAGATACAAATTACATAAACTAATCTAATAAATAATAATTTTTTTAGTTCAGGATTTTCAGGTTTAACCCCTTCCGTGTTCATTGTCAGAATCTCACTCACGTGCCCAGGTGCTACTTGGGTGGGTGAAAGACATTGGGCACGATGAACATAGTTCGTAATTTTATAAAAAATTTCTTAGCGACTAACAATGTGTTAGCGTATCGTGCACGACGTATTTTCCACATGTGTGTGTGGTTAGGATGTGGAATTGCATCGTTTTTATTGTCCCATTTATTATAAGTTGAAATATTTAAAATATTTATGCACTGAATTTGAAGTATTTGAAGTATGAATTTATTATGTAATAATACTCATTGACTATACTATATTATTAATTATACGATCAGTTATAACAATGATTCCAAAGTCAACTTGCACATGTACTTTTTTTCTCACATATTAATATTATTATCGGACATAAATATAAACGTATTTTAATCACGTTTTACGCAATGTTCGCTAGCCATTGTCAGTTGATTTCAGGAAAATGGTACGTAAATTAGAGTGTGA